AATCGAAAGAGAAAGACGTTGCGCCTGCGCAGCAGCGCATTTCCCAGACAATGCATTATTGCATGCAGTCAATGACCGCTCAAATGACAAGAATCGAACTAAAACATTGTAGTAATTTACTGTTTAACCTATATCTGCCTATCTCACTTTGTAACGTTGATAGGTACCGTCATTGTTCATAATTTGTTAATTACTAACATCGTGCTAATTGATGATCGTGTTGACTGTGTATTTATCCTACGCCGAGCAAAAAAGGTTGCATGCATTCATTCGCTTCTCATTCAGAATGACGATAGATTGTATTGCGTCTTACAATCTTGAAAAAGACATGGGCTCATAGGATATTTTCTTTAGTAAATTTTCGCCAATTATGTTCTGATGTAGATCAATTTCCAATCAGCAGATTTAAAAGTCATCGTGAAGGTTTTTTTTTATTGTATAAGTCGGCAAACGAGCAGACGCATTACCTGATGGTGAGCAATCGGCGCCGCCCATGGACACCAAAGAGATACGAGTGCGTTGCCGGCCTTTTGAGGATAGGGGTCGGGGATATAAGGATCGGGAAGGGATAGGGGTGGGGGAGGGATTGGGCCTCCGGTAACCTCACTCACACGGCGAAACACAACGCTGTGGGTTGTTTCACGCCGGTATTCTGTGAGGCCGTGGTATCACTCCGGTCGATCCGGTCCGGTCTCTATGTTTGGTATTTCCGAACCGATATGACCTTGAAACCTTCATGATACGAACGGACTCTCCTTTAACGGCCGGCAACTCCTGTGTCTTTTCTCTTGTTGTGAGTGTCCATGGGCTGCGCTGATCACTCACCATCAGGTGATCCGTCTGCTCTTTGGCCTCAGTGGACATCCTGTGAATGGTTGGATAAATTATGTAAGTTTCGTGTGATAAGAGATGGTTCTGTGACATATATGTATACTGGATGTTATTTACGATTCCTTCCTGAATTCTTATTTTAAATTGTCGATATTTATGTAGTTGAAAAATTCATTCTTTGCTTCTTTGCTAGACCCGAAAATAAAAACTCGTGTAAGTAAACGAGGCAGCATTGCGAATAAAATAGATTATTAATATAGTTATGATTATTTAATTATAATTCCATTAGTTTCTTTTGTTTAGAAACTATAGTTTATTTCGTAATAAAAATATTAGATTGAAATCGCTAGCACGCAATGTGAGTAGCAAAAAATAAATGATACGTAGTCGGTGAAGTTGTTTATTGCATTAAATTTTGTTGTAAGTTTTCCGAGGTATAGGATATTTCTGAATGGAAAAAAGATGTTTTGTCCATTTTCTAATTTTGAAATTCTCAAAGGAGTTTTGAGTTCATAATTATATGTCCCAAAAACGAATGGGTTGGCTCGACCGATGTGTTACCGTGGCCTCACAGAAAACAGACGTGAAAGAATCACACCGTTTTGATTTGCCGTGTGAGTGATGTTACCGGAGGCCCAATCCTTATTCCTCCCCCAATACCTAAATCTCCGGAATACTAAACGCCATAAGGCCGGCAATCACTTAAAAAAAACTTGCATCATGCCTTAGAAATACTCGTATGTACAAATTTAAAATATCTTCGTCAATGTATAGTACATTAATTACTGCTTGTTCGTATTAATTATATTAATGACTATTTATGTTTTGATTAGTGGCTGATAATTGGTCGTGTCCGGAGTTAATTAATGTAACGAAGTGGAAATATTTCACCATCTAATTGTATCTTACAGATTTAGGCTATATTTCTTATTGTTCGATTTCTATTTTTATTTAAGTTAAATTTTTATTTATATTGATGTATAATAATATGTCAAAATCAGCTGGGATTGCTGGTGCAAGCGTAATCGAATCGATCGAGATGATCGCCGGCCAACGTAAGCGCGGGTCTGCGGACGGCGAGTAAGGGCAACTCGCCGCCCGACCAGAACCAGACCCAAGCGTACGGCGCGTAGCGTTCCGCGCGCGCCTCAAAGAGCCAATAGACCACTACAGACGGGGCCCTATTGGGCTGATGTTCTGCTGGGGTTGCGGGTTAAGCGCAATGAGTAACCGCGGCCTTGGCCTAGAGCAGGAAAAGGAACGGGGGGTTGTAGTCAGTAAGAGACACTCCCTCGCTTAACCCTGGGCGGGAGAAGTAATTTGATGATTTTCCCCCTGACAAACAAAAGCGTAGATAATAACGTACCGCGGTTATGGCTCGTAGGAGGACAAGCAACGGGGTGGTTCTTAGTCAGTAAGAGTCTGCTGACACTCCTTCTCGTCCTTCCCAGAATAAGAAGAAGAAGGGAAAATGTGTAATCATTATCCCCACAAAAACGAATAAAATTGTCGCTTCCCTGCAATTAACTAAAGAGTCAAGAAATATGGCGCTGGCCCATGTCATGTTACGTAAAAAACAGAGAAAATAAAACAAAGACCATAATTCACGGTCTAATTATTTAATAAGTATGAATGAACGATAATAATATTTCTTAGAAAGTGAAGTGTGTGTAGGAATTTAATTTATTACGCGCCGTGATTGCGTCGCGCCTTTGTCTCAGTATGATGAAGTTAGTGTGAATTGTAAATTTGGTAAATATGCCTATAAAGTTGATTATACACAGGCAAACGATATACCGGGAAGAAAAATAACGACGCGGTATTTTACTTTATTTATAAGACATAGGTAAATTCTGAGTCTATTTAGTCCATTTCCTCTATCACTGAAAGAAAAATCTCTGATGACAAGATTAAATTGAATATTGACTGTAAAAAAATACATCATTTTTTATCATCGATTGTCCCCCCCACCCTTGGCTAAGAACCACCCCGTTCCTTATCCAGCTTCAGACAGGGTTTGCGATACATGGTTGGCAGTCAACAACTGTGCCACGCACAGCAAAGCTTTGGAATGATCTTCCGGCGGTGGTATTCCCGAACCGATACGACCTTCAAACCTTCAAGAAACGAGCGTACTCCTTCTTAAAAGGCCGGCAACGCACATTTAACTCTGGTGTTGCAAATGTCCATGGGCGGCGCCGATCGCTTACCATCAGGTGATCCGTCTGCTCGTTTGCCAACTATTCCATAAAAAAAAACATTATTGTGCTTACACCCGCAACCTCAACTGAACCATTTTCTGTCACTCCTGGTTATTTAGACAAGCTATACGCACGTGCCCACAATATAAAAAAAAATGCAATGATTCATTATGATAACAATTACTATGTTTGTTTACTAAACACGGGATTGTTACAGTTCGTGACCACTGAAACGGTTACTCGGAAGTTTTCCCCTGTATTTATGATAGTTATTTCTATTTTTTCTTTCATGTTCTTTTCTTCTGTTTCATATCGTTAGTACTGACGGTTGTTTCGTTTTAAGTCGTAACGTTACATGGTTTGTTTATGAATTTTGATGTGTGAATTACAAAGGTGTTAATAAACCTAGCTTCACTGATGAACGGACTGATGGAATATTATTATATTTTGACGTTTCCTAACACTTCTATTTCATTGGTTTACATGTTTTACTTTTTCACTTTGATACCAGCAGTTCTTAAGATTAGCGCGCACAAAGAAACATACTTTAAGAATAGATAAATATAAAAATTAATGCCTCTTTTCATTGTAATCGTTTACCTCGAGAATGGGCTCACCTGTTCAAACCAAGTTGCTTTGTTCGAACTATTTAGTCGGTTTTTCATTTATTACGTTGTAAAATGGTGCTAGTACAGGGTCGTTAGTATAATTATAGACATTTATAACACACTACACGTTTGCCACGTCTACCGAACTCCAACGGAAACTAACAAAACATATTAAAAAGTTTCTAAATAAAAAACTGATTCCTTATAACGATAGTATTTTATCAATGTCGGAAATATCTCGCGTTCTCTCGTCGGATCAAAGGACTGACTGACTAATGTCGGTTTATATTTACCTCGAACCCAGATGCTGTCGACTTGTGCAGTGATCGAGATCGCTAAGAAAATTAATCGACATGAAAAAGTCGAAAGATGGAGGAATTATTTTTTAGGAATTCTTCTTATATCTGCTTTGTAAGGTTCATTATCCATAAAAATGATTTTAGTCAAGATTTGCACGATTCAAAAAATGTCCAATAGAATTCGTAGATATTGATATAAAAAGCAAAACTTTGGAATGATCTCCCGGCGGCGGTGTTCCCGAACCGATACGACCTTCAAACCTTCAAGAAACGAGCGTATTCCTTCTCAACGCCGGCAACGCACCTGTAACTCCTCTGGTGTTGCGGATGTCCATGGGCGGCGCCGATCGCCTACCATCAGGTGATCCGTCTGCTCGTTTGCCACCTATTCCATAAAAAGAAGACACTTTTGTCCATCTGCTATATATTAGCTATCCAGAGATAGAAAATCTTCGTAATATCACTTCGACATTTCGCGTAATTGAATTTGGGATGTCCTTGAAATGAATTTTACGTCGTTATTCTCATAGCATGTCTAGTCTAAAATCGTGCCTGGTTGCACAAATTTTCTTTTATAATTATTTTCGTTAATAAATCACAATTAAGAATACTACGTAAACTGTATTAATAGAAACAAAACAATACTATAATAAGGCCGGGGCAACGCGCTAGTAACTCCTTTGGTGTTGCGGGTGTCCATGGGTGGCGCCGATTGCTTACCATCAGGCAATCCGTATCCGACTCATACCATAAAAAAAAGAAGCCGCCACTGACATTGAATTTTGCCAATTAGGTAGGTACATGACGCCGCGCCAAGTAAGACACATCGGCAAATTTTTCGTTTTGCACTCTGATAAATGGTTGAATCATCTTGTTTTGTTCTGACATCACATATGGAACAAATGTTTCCTTATAAATCATCTACAATATTCACGTCGTTTACAGAACCTTATGTTTGTTTCTGGAAAATATCTTAGCAACTTTTTTCTGCCTATAATGAATAGGAACAAAAATAATTGGCGCCGTTTTGATCTAACTAACACTAGTTTTTCTTGTTACAGGTTGAAATGGCATGCGAGCTAAGGAAGCCACTATTCGTCCACGAGAAAGAGGCTCAGGACGATCTAATAAAGATCCTAGACGAATTCGGTTCTCGTCTACCAGCAGTTGTGATTCACTCCTTCACCGGATCCGTCGAACAAGGACTTAAATACATAGAAAAAGGATTTTACTTAGGTATCACCGGATATATATGTAAAGATAAGTCTGATGGTGGAATCAGGAGGTTGCTCTCAGAAAGACTGTTGCCTCTTGACAAACTGCTGGTGGAAACTGACTCGCCGTTCATGTATCCCAATATGAGGGCTTCGAAGCTGCCATTGCATGTCAAGGATTCTCTGACTGAGAGGTAAGAAACAAATAACTACGATTTCCTATCTAATCTTCTAGGTTTTTGTCATCATCGTCATCAGGTGAAGAACATGACGTTCACTGCTTCACAGGGATCCTTCCACAGTATACAGAAATGAAAAAAAAAAGAAAATAGTTTATTGTCTCAAAACTGTACAGTTGGTATGTTGGTATGGTCATGCGCAGTCTTTAAGTAATTATTACAAGAAGTACTGGTTACTGCATCCCAAACTAGGCCGTAAGCCTGTATCCTGGTAGGCAGTATTCAGTCGGTCAAAAGGTACATGGGTACTGTTTGTACAAGTCAGTGAGTCTTGAGCAGCCTGGTAACGCGTAGTCCTTGCATTGCATATTACTTCAATCTTATGATAATATGCTTGCGCGCGTAATAGTTCTTACTGGATTGTAGTTAGGTCAACTAGATACTGAAAATCGTAAAAATGGGTGGTATGTACGATTAAGGTAATAGCAAAAATATCGAAAATTATATGCCAAATCATCTAGCGCTTCTTAGTGGCTGACTGCGAATTCAGGGTTTTTTATCTGACTGGGCGCCCCTGTCTCGAAGTCTGTGATATATTATACCAGAATACATAATTCATGGTATTAAAAATAATTGAAAAGGGTGTCGGAAGATGAATACGGAATTCGTCCTTGGCAATCACAATACATAATGTGGTGCGAAATTCTTTGTTAGGACTGTTGTTAGATCTTGTGTCATCCGTATTATGTTACGTTCACACTATTGTAAGCTGTCTTTTGCTCTAGGTTTCTTTTGTTTCTTTTTATAGTATTGTTTATTATCAAAGTATTTCCTTTGGTAATGTCGTACTTACATAACTCTCGACCCGGGTAAAGCGTGAACGAATGTGAGACTGTTATTGACTAAAAGTCATCCTGTTTCTGTTCCTCTTACGAGCGAAGGACGAGCATCGGTACTTTCAAAATAAAATATCAGAACTAGTTCCCTGTTTAATTTATTTAAAAAATCTCATAATACATAGAGTAACTTTGTGTGAAAAAATCACAAGGACTAGTGTTACCGACATAGCCCTTAAAATCTGCAAGCTGAATTGGCAATGGGTTCGAGTAGCGATCACGGATCGGAAGACCTAGCGTGGAATATACCTGCTCGGTGGATCGGCGACATTTTCAGGGTTTTAGGGCGCCAATGGATGCAAGTGACAACTTGTTGTTAGGCGTGGAGAACTAAGGGGAGGTCTTTGTCCAAAACTTCCGTAGAATGTTAATGCTCAGCCTTTTACTCATCAAACCCCAAGCGAACGCCAGCGTTCTCGCTCCTATTGTCATACTATTATGTCTCGAATTACCACGATTGGAAGGTTAAAGGAAAATCGAAAGTACACATCATAAAGTTTCGTTTATCTAAATAATACTATTCGCTAGACACAATATAAAATCGTGTTATTATAATGATAAGATAGCGATAGTCAACATCCGAATTACGTGTTGTTTGATAACAGACGCAAAACAAAACGATATCGCGCAACGTGCTACTTATGTGACTAGTAAGTAGATTTATGTTGTGCACCTACTAATATAGAAGCTTTTTTTGTGGGAGGAATAGTCATCAAATGGCTTCTCGCGCTCAGGGTGACAGTCAGACTCTTACTGACTCAAAACCCATCCGTTTCTTCTCCTGGTCTAGGCCTAGGCCGCGTTGCCTCATTGCGCTTACCCCGCAACCCCAGCTGACTGAAAATTAGCCCTATAGGGCCCTGTCTGTGGTGGTCTATTGGCTCTTTCAGTCGCGCGTGGAACGCAACGTGCGTACCGCTAGGATACGCGCGTTCTGGTCGGGCTACGAGCTCGGCTTACTCGCCGTCCGCAGACCCACGCTATATGGAAGCTGGCTATGAACGCTATCTGCCTTTTGTTACCCTTTCAAAGATTAAAGTCTCTGCCGTAGGTTTCCTTGGTCAAAAATTATATAATAACCTTTTAATGCAATAAAAAATCATCGTACTTTCATTTATTGATTTGTCGATATGGATAGATACCTACTTAATTTTCGTTTTCTAGATATGTTTTAGGAAATAAGTATTATAGTCACGCTTGCTCAACGTGGATGGACGATTTCAAATTTCACCGTTTTTCAGTGTTGTCTAAGTGCTGCTTATATATATTTTGTAAAAGACATATGACTCAGAAAATCTCACATTGATACTTGTAAGGTTTCGAATCCGCAATCCTCAACCTCCCCACAATTACATTTCATTTTGCGCAAACAAACATGAATGCACATTTACAATATTATATAACAATTATACATAACAAGTGTAACAATAAAACATTCGATAGTTTCACCAAATTAAATAATTACCTGTCTTGATTTCTAGATCGATGAACTTCGTGAACCGCTACTGCACGTTTCAACGGAACGAGCCTTGCGCCCTGCCAGCTATCGTCGAACTGATCGCCGGATTCTTAGGACAAAAACCTGAAGATGTCGCCTTAGCTACAGCGTTCAACGCCCTAAAGATTTTCGGACTCAGCCAGTGAGTTAGACGATTATACACCCTCTTACTTTGAAAATAAAGGCTAACAGGGACTTGTAATAACTATGTTGGGAGAGATTTCTATATGATTTGTTATATTATTCATGAATTAGAAGTAAGAGGGTTGAACATACCCATTTATATAAAGAATCGAAATTCAGTGCCTTAGCGCCGTAGTGCCTTGATTACAATGAGTCGATTATTCAAAAATGTTTGATTATATGGGATGTGACAGTGATTTAATCACATAAATAATCCCACTTGAAATATATTATACAATTGTTATATTTGTTGGTTTCTTCGAACGCCATCCGATTTGATCGAGATTTTATCAATTATATTATTGAATAACAATCTAACTTCGAAAATTGAAAATACTCAATTTCATTGTATTGCATTTCGATAATGACAAGATACGATAATTTTTTGTGTACATTTTGTAGCAGAATGAGGCTATAGAACGGTTTTTGCGACATTGTGACGTATTTGCCGCTTAAATCGCCCTAATTTGATACTAAAACATTCGAGTATTTCTTGCCATTGTAAAAACTAACATTGATAATTGCCTTTCTAAATGGTAAATTTGTTTAATGACTTTTGGAAGAAAATCTATACATTTGAATACACTTGCTCAATAATACAACGAACTGAAAAGCAGCTAATTATAATTGTTGTGATTTAATTTATTTTTGTTAGCGTAATAACTTTGCAGATACAGCGTTTATATTTATTTATTAATAATTTAATTTGTCTGTAAAGCTATTAACGCTTGGTCAGTATTTTAAAATTAGCAAGAAATGAAGACTTTTAGTTAAACTTATTTATTTTTAAACTCCAAGTGTATTCAAATTTATAAAAACAGAAGTGAACAATGAGAGAAAACGCTACACAAGATACAAAAGCGTACCTGAAGATCCAAGTCTTAAATTTTTGTGGCTTATGTGCACACGCCTTTTAAACTGGTGGCAACCGGGTTTTAGTCAGACTGATCTCAAGATGCCGTGTTTGAAGAATAATTTTTCATTAAATATCCATTTTTTTAAAGATTTCGTCCTAAACTCTTTAAGAGTTGTCGACGAATCCCACAGTGTTGCAGTTCATTCGATTATTCTTAGTCTTAATTTTAATATAAGGGAATGTAAACCATTTTTTTTTGCATACTAACATTTATTTGTACGTAATGTAGGTTTAGGCGATGTTTAGACATTAAGCTTTATATTTTTGTCGCCAAATAATGAAAGTTTATTTATGTTTTCGTGTTTAAATAAGTCTGATATAGAGAGAGCTAGACATAGAGAAATAATTGCCCGGGAGTCTGAAAATATTATTTTTTTACTGACCATTTCGATGGTTGAAGATTAAATGCAGTTATTTCTTCATGTCTCGCTTGAGAAACCATGTCGTCTTGCCTGTATGACCGCGGAAGTGAACTGCAACCCTTTACCCTCGATACCGATGGCCTGTTGCCACCTTTATCTACACGCACGGTGTGAGGTAACTTCTTATAATTCTCGCTCTGCGCAGAGCATTCCTAATCGAATTACAATATTTATATTATCATCGAATATTTGTAAATAGTTTGAGGATGTGTAATTAATTGATATAATAATTTAATTATAATTTAATGCTGGTAGTCACAACGAAATCAAAGACTGCAAGTATTAAAGAGAAAATGTGAAACTTGACATGTTAATTACGTTTACGTTTTTGTATCGATATTTTTTATGTATTTAATCGTTTATCGTGTAAGAAGTATTGTTATTCCTTTATTTTTTGACACTTTGTTGTAGTTGTGTAAGTGTGGGCTGGTTCGCCTGTACGTACGTTGTATTGCGCACCGCTGGCCCGGCTCGTGTAGTGCCTTCAATGAAACGTCCTTTTGTGATACAATATTTTCATAGAATGTACAGATTATTTCTTTCAATATACAATTAAAGAAATTATTTACTTGTGTTTTATTCATGGATACCAATGTTCAAAGCCGTGTGTGATAAATATTCGGAGTTATAAATGTTGAAAATGTGGGCTTTTGAATGAATTAATGAATATTCTTCATTGTACACTATAATAAAATTATAAAAAAAAACACAGAAAACAACAAACACAAAAGATAGAACAATTAGCGGTTTTATCGCTAAAAAGCAATTTTTTCCAGACATCCTTTGGGTGGAGTTTAATTTTGGAAGAATTTAATATTTGATGATATTTTATAGGTAAAAATATCTGTTATCTAACGGTAAACTGAACAAAGTTAAAGCTATTAAAATAAAGGATATTTATGACTCCCAAAAGTACTTCAAATCACCGGTGTTGCCAGATGTGTTGTAAGTGCGTAGCCGGTGTTAAGGGAGGGTTGGAGTTATTTAGATTAAAAAGAAACCAGTATGATTCGGAATTGTATAATTTTGATAACTATATAGGTACTTATCACTATAAATAATTTGGTGACATGATATACTGCTTTCAACAAAGTGTAGTGTTTCCAAAAATTTGAAAGATAGACATTGAAATTAGTAAAATGGAGGGAAATATTGCTTTCCATTAATTTTTTTTTCACCTTTTTACAATAGGTAACAGGTTGACCTAGCAATCACTGACATCGCCAAATAAGGAGTGATTGAAACAAGAAACAAGTATCATTTGGAATTAAATTTATTGCTACTTATGTTCAATTTTTGGCAGTCAACATTAATATTACACTAGAACTTAATACACATAACAACTTTACATTTATAACATATAATGTAGGCAAAGTAATTGTGTAATACTGTAATTTACATTTATTTTGTTTCCTGTAGTCGAAATATTAACTTTATAACGTTTTTAAAATAAATTTAATTAAATGGTATAATTTTGCTACCATTATTTTTGAACGAATTTATGGGTAATGTTAACACTTCAAACGGTACGGTACGTACGAATACATTTTATTTTTATTAAAAAACTCGTAACATTTAATTCGAAAAAATACACACCAAAATCACTAGTTCTTTATGATTTTAATTTTGTGGCATTTGGAGTTGATTGGTATTAATTTTATTAAATCTTAGAATTCATTGAAATTCAATTTTATGTGATATGTTATAAAATACCAAAAAAGAACATTGTTTTCAATTGCTGGAAGCATAGGTTGTTAATCAATGACGAATGGCTGATCACCTGATGGCAAGCAATCGACGCCGCCCATGAACATTTGCAACGCCAGTGTCACAAGTGCGTTGTCAGCCTTTTTAGTTAAAATTTTGATTTCTTAGTTACAAATAACTCACTCACACACTGACCAATTAAAACAACAAAGTATACGAACATTTAATCCGGATGTGATTTTTACCCATAACGGATTCTGAAACTTAGAATTGCGAAACGTATTGAAGTGAATGTACATATTAATTTGTTTTATAATAAGATAAATAGAGTTACAAATCATAACAGCGTTCAATATCGGTGGCAAATACAGCAAAATTACAGAAATTTATATTTTTTTTCAACACTATTTTAACAATAATAACCCTTATCATTTGACATTATACCTACTTGACATTCAACCTCATATTACAAAATAATGTAATATGACCGGATCCCTGACCAAACACAATTTTAACAGAATGTTGGCTACCGTTTCTTTTTGCTCACTAGATGGCGCTGATCTACTTCGTCCAATCACTGTAGCTGTTCAAAATTGAACACTGGCTTATTTCCGTCAAAAATTATAATTATTTGGACTTGTCAATCAAATAATACATTGCATATACAAACACATTTTCGTTGGGTGGTTTAGCCAAAACAAATTTCATAGTAAATTGTTGTTTCTGATATTTCCTTTGTTGTTGGAAAACACCCTATTTGTTGATTTTACGATATAAAAAAATAAGTATTATTTGTAAATTATTTTCTGAACTAAATGTGCTACACAAATATGACGATATAAGACACAATCCCGCGGCATGTTGTGTTTACCCAATTCTTTATTGGACGAAAAGAAAGGTCTTATCAGAAAAAAAAAACGGTAGCCTTATTTTTTTTCTAATAACAATAATAACCTAAAATATCACAGTGGTTTACGCTTTATCTAGTTTTTTGACGACGCCTGGTGGCGGGGAGCTTAGCACCTTCCTGGATAGTCTCACCTGCCCGGAGACTGGGTCGCGTCCGAAGTATTTCACTTGAATCTCTGACCCTACGTCGAGCCCAAGCACGGAGGGGTGCATTATCTGTGGGGAATGTAAGAAAAAAATACATTAGTGGGAATAAGAGGTGTAAAATCTACAATATTGGAAAGATGATGTCATATTATCCATAAACAAATGCAAAGTCAAAGTGAGTTACTATCTTATAAGTTCTTTTTAATTATTATTTATGTGGCAAATGACCTGTTTCACGCGGAAATCTAGTACGCGATACCTTGGACGGCAGCACGTCTTCGGAAAATCTTGGGTCGCCGCTTGAAATTTGCTTTCATTTTGTAGTTGTGGCATTAATTACTTTTGTTTACTAGTTTCTGCTAGCGACTAGTGACGTCGCCGCAGTGAAAAGTAGCCTAAGTGTTTTTTTTTATAGAAACATTGCCTCACATTAGGATTTTCTCCTTGGTCGTGGGTGTGTTTACAAGCATACAATATCACATACACATCACACCTAGATCCAGCACCCAGAACAACAATTTGTGGATCACACGAAGAAGTTGTTCCCAGCAGCGTTCCGGCAGCCATTTGCCTAACTACCGTGTCAACCGTGCAGTCGAAGTGTATAACTAGACTCTAATCTATCTCTGTGCCAAATTTCATTAAGATCCGTTCAGAATACATCCATTTCCTTTCGCATTTATAGTATTAATAGGATACTTCTTACCTTCCTATGGTCGAGTTGGCTGTTATGTACTAGCGCGGGCGTCATACCGGAGTACAAAGTGACCAGTACCCCAATATCCTTCACCTCTACCACCCTGGCTTTGTAAATAGCACCAAACTCCAGTTCAGGAGTTTTCTGTGAGGTCAACCACCCTTGGATACGACTGTGGGCCTCGTCCATCGCCGCTTGTGAGGGCGCGAATATGCTGTACTTTACGTCGTCTATTGGTGTCACCTAGAAATATAAAAAAGAACTCTATTTAACTACCATAAGGTTTTAAACCAATTAACAAATTCTTGTACTGTTATTAAGTGGAAAAGTACGATGGTAGGGGAGGGCAAAGCTTCAGCCGGGGTTGCGGGGTAAGGGCAATAAGGCAGCGCGAGAAGGAACAGGGGGTTTTTAGTCAGTAAGAGTCTGACACTCCACTAAATAAGGGGAGGGCAAAGCTTTCCTTATTTATGGTATGGTGCGTGGTAGAACTCTTTCAAAGTCATACGCTCAATGAGAATGACAGACTGTATGAAATAACAGAACAATCTGATGAGTAAAAAATAACGATACGCTGGTATTAGATCAACTCAAGAATATTTTTTATGGCATAGGTCTGCAAACGAACAGATAGGTTACCTTATGGCAAGCATCAGCGCCACCCGTAGACACTCGCAATACCAAAGGAGTTAGTGCAAGTGCGTTGCCAGACTGTTGTGGGTTATTAGGGATTGATAGAGGGTGGGGGGATGGTTTAGGTCTCTGGAAACCTCTCACACGGCGAAAACGCAACGTAAATGTTGCTTCGCGTCAGTATTCTGCAAGGCCGTGGTATCAATCCGGTCGAGCCGAAGCGTGGTTCTCCCACACTTGATTTCCCACCAAATTGCTTTTGATTCAACCAAAAATACGCTTCTGGTCTTCCAGTGAAGCGTTTAGAATAAGGTTTATATTTGAACTTACCTGTACACCAGTTTCAAGGTACAATTTCTTAAGATTGGCGCCTCCCATGCCAAGCAATTTTGGTCTCTTGTGAACTTCTACCTCCATCTCTTCGATAACTGGCATGTTCTCTTTGTGGCCTTGTCTGAAAGATTTTTACGCATTAATATATTACTATTATGATCATAAAGACACTTATTCCGGAATGTTCAGCTCGTCGTGCCCTTTTACGAGTTTAAATTAGTCGAACTTTTCTCAGTTAATGCTTTATTATCATTAGTTTGTTGTTATATTTGTTATTAGCTACTATCCCGCGGTTTCACCCGCTGCTCTGCTCCTACTGATCGTAGCGTGATGTTTTATAGCTTATAGCACTCAGGAACATTGTAGCTACCTATCAGTGGAAGAATTTTAGCAATCCGACCAGCGGTTCCAAAGTTTACCCCCTACATACAAACTTACAAATTTAACCTGTTTATAATATTAGTATAGATTTATGTATTATTATAGAAAAAAGAAGCCATTTAGATACAAAAATTACCCAATAGATACAAAATTACGGCTCTTATTTTCCCACAGAGTCAAAATAAGTTATATTTTTCCAGCAAAATTCGCTACGAACCTGGGTTTATCGATACACTGGTTCATTATATCGATAATCTTGCTTTTAGCGTCGCAGGCTTTCTGTATGGACTCCATGACGATCTTGAGCGGTAGCCCGGGTACTTTGACGTCGGCCTGTAGGGCCGTCACTCCTTTCTTAGTACCGGCCACTTTGAAATCCATGTCACCCATGTAATCTTCTATACCCTGAGACAAAATTGAGATTATTTAGTTTTTATATATTTAAGTGTGGGAGAGCCATGCTTCGGCACGAATGAGTCAGCTCGACCGGAGTGATACCACGGCCTCCCAGAAAAACGGCGTGAAATAACCAAAGAGTTGTGTTTCGCCGTGTGAGTGAGGTTACCGGAGCCCCAATCCGTTCCTTTTCCCAAAATTTCCAAATCCCTAATCCACTATAGGTCGACAATGCATTCGTAACCCCTCCGTCCATGCGAGTGTCCATGGGCGACGCTGATTGCTTACCATCAGGTCATCTTTATTTTGATTGCTTACTATCACATAAAAAAAAATTGTTTTTTTGGAGGTATGAGGAACAGGGTGGAAAGTTCCTCATCCTCCGTTGAAAAGGGAGGATCCTCGGACCAGGCGAGGTGTTCGTGCCTGGTGGGCTACTGCCCGACAGTTGTTGTCGGGATTTTTTTATTGTGCTATTTAGCGCGTAAACTTCACTTGCGCGATGTAGAATCTTGCACGTGATTGGTGCTTATGTTATGGTTGTGCGATAGATGACGCTACAGTTTGTTTTTTATGGTATAAGTCGGCAATCGAGCTGAAGAATTACCTGATGGTAAGCAATCAGCGCCCATAGACACTCGCAACACCAAGAAGTAACGAATGTGTTGCCCGCCTACTACTAGATATACTACCATACTACTTACCACTAGATATAATAACATATTACTCAACTTTAAATTATTACAAAAAAAGGTAATAATGATCGCCATAAAATGCTTTAACACCCTTTATTTTTGCACTGCGTTATAAGTGGTTTAGATAGTGCATTTTTATATTCTCAAAATTCCAGAGTAACATTATAGGTATGTATAATAATTTGCTTGTTAATGATTATTTTTCATGGCACAGACAGAAAATCCAAACTACCAATACAATAAAATGTTAACCAAATAAAACGCAAACGGACTCACTAACAAATCAGTAAGAATCCTGTAGTCCTCGATTTGTCCCTGTTCATCGGGCCGGGAGACCAGTCCGATGGCAACTCCTGCGGCAGGAGCTGACAAGGCTACCCCGGCGTCCATCAGTGCTAGGGAACCACCACATACTGACGCCATTGAACTCGAACCTGGAAAGAAATATAATCTGTACTAAAGCAATGAAATAATAAATTTATTCTTGCAAATAGACCATTAGACGGCACTTTTACAAGTCAAAATTATATGTGAAAAACTATATGAAGCCGGCATTTCCTATCTGACTACTCTGAGAAGAATGCCGAAATAAACTCAGAGGTTTTCGTGTACGGGAAAGAAAGATTTTTCAGTTGAAGCGGTGAGTGGCGAATAGGCTGCCATGAAACGTATTGCAAGTTCTCCCGCAGGCTAAAACTGTTTGTGTAATCCATCATTTGTTGTTCTAGGTCTAAAACATTTTGTCATGACCCCTCTATGTGTGGGCTTCGTAAAAGCCAGTAAGGGGAATGCGGTAAACATTATTTGATAAAGAAAGAATAGTACTTTCTGGTAAATCCAACATCTTTTAAACTGTGACCTCCAACCTGCCTATCAAATCCCTCTCATCTCTTGAAAAGACCTACTTACCATTAGATTCCAGTACTTCAGCAGTCAATCTGACAGTGTAGGGCTGGTGTGGCACGACGGGGAGTAACCCTCGCTCAGCTAGGGCTCCATGACCCGCCTCGCGGCGCCCTGGGGCTCCGGTCCGACCTACCTCCCCCGTCGCGTATGATGGGAACTCGTAGTGAAGGAAGAAACTCTTCTCTTTTATGCCACTAAAAATTTATTATGGTTAGTTGAGCGTCCATTTTACCCATTTTAAAAGTAGGGCAAATTAAACATTTCTTATATTTTTAATGTCCATATTAAGGACTTTCAAATTAATACTAAATAACACTTTGCCCAACCCCAGAACCTAGGTAAAAACCCTGAATTAAATAGTTGCGAAACAAACGAAAAACGACTTACTTGGTGGTCTTAAATATATTTTTACGACATATAAATAGGTTTACATAACAATATAAAGATATATATGACAAAAGGACAAATATAATAAAGTTTAAGAAATATTTTTTTTAATAATTTATCTTAATAAAATTGTCAATCGCTCACTTACCTAGTAAGCATAGTAAGAGTGTCCATCTTGAGTGCGCTCTCTGGTGAATCGAACGCAACTGTGCATAGAACTTGCGTCTGTCCACGTTGAAACACTGCGCTACCATGCAACGGCTCGTATAGAGAAACCTGGTAACAAACATTATGATAATTGTTCAGTTTTATATTAATTATAAATTTCAACAATCGCGGCCCCGACCTCCTCGTTATAGTCAGTAACACATTGTCAAGCGATATGTAGATTTTCCCGACTCAAAAAAATATAAAAATAACCACTGCGTTGTGTTTCGCCGTGTGAGTGAGGTTACCGGAGGCCCAAAATCCTTAATTCCCAAAAGGTCTGTAACACACTCGTAACTCCTACATCGTTGCGAGTGTCCATGGGCGGCGCTGATTGCTTACCATCAGGTAATCCGACTGATCATTCGCCGTCATATCACATAAAAAAATAGGGACAGAGAAAGCGACTTTGTTTTATTGATTTCCACCATACCTGACAACTAATCTGCCGAAGGTCATCCAAGTGCCGTCCATCACACCGTATATCAGTCTCGAATATCATGTCACGAAATATGCGCTTGAGGTTGGCGTTGAAGCAGTCCTGTAACAGTGTGACATCGACCTCCGTCTCCCGCAGTTGGTTTAATACCATCTGTCTGAGTTCTGATATCGCGTTGTCTCTTGAAATCTTATCGTGGGAGTAATCGCTGGGAAAATATTATATTAGACAGTTTAAACTTTGAAAATTTTGTATGTGCGCAAATTTCATAAGAAGACGCCTTACGGTAATTTTGAACTTTCTAAATATTGATAAAAAAAATTTTTATAATCGAACATTGATCAGGTATCTCGTTATTTTTTTAGATTCGTGCCAGTATATTCTGATATTAGCGCTTTTAGCTTTACAATATAAAAATGAACGCAGATTTTTAACTCTAGTACAAACATAATAAAGTTAAAAATCAAATATTGGAATGCAACAGAAGAAAAATGACAAGAACTACATGTTTGTGCTTAATTCCTTATAAAATTTTCTTAAATCTCTCACCTGAGTATTTCTCGAATCTTCATAGAAGACAGTGTGCTGACAGCGTCCACTATATCCTGGTGCAGTGGAGGTGGAGTCTCGTACTCTCGCTTCATCTTGCCATGACTCTTCTGCAGTTTCTCAATGCCTCGGACTATGAGCTGGGCTTCTTTTGTACCTGTAAGAGTATTTATAACGATGTCAGGTAAATAACATTGCCCTTCACTTGGATATTTTATTAGCATACTGATTCCCTGATGGTAAGCAATCAGCGCCTACAATGGACACCTGCTACTTAAGAAGAGTTGCAGTTACCGTTGCCGGCCTCTCAGGATTTTGGGGATGAGGGGTTCCTCCCCTCAGGATTGGGCCTCCCGTTACCTCATTCATACGGCAAAACACAAAGCAAGAGGGTTCCACGCCGTTCTTCTGCGAGACCGAAGTATCACTCCGGTTTAAAAGACCAAATTGTGACGGAGAATAGCACATGAAGACATTAAATGTTAGTTGTCTCATCAAAGAATATTAGGTCTTCAATAACAAAATTACATCTGGACTTACTTGCATACCTAATTTGATGGCTTTCAGCAGGTCTTGTTGCAGTATATCCTGTGCACTGCCCTCCATCATCACGACCAGGTTCCTGTTAGTAGCAGCTACCACCAGGTTTAAGATAGACTTCTCTAGGTCCTTGCGAGTTGGATTGATTATCACTTCATTGTCAATTTGTCCTATTCTGCAATGAAAGAAATTGAACAATACTTTAAAATGTATTTAAGTGTGAGAAGCCATGCACGAAATGGCTCGGCTCGGAGTTATAACACGGTCTCCCAGAAAACTGGCTGAGCGTTGTTTCGTCGTGTCAGTGATGTTTCCTGAGACCCAATCCTTCCCTGTTCCCAATACCTAAAAATACTCTTAATCACCAAAAGGTCGGCAACGTACTCGTAACTCCTACGCTGTTGTGGGTGTTCATGGGCGGCGCAGTTTGCTTACCATCAGGTAATCCAATCCGCTTTGAGCACGTGCGGTGGTTGTTCAAACTTTTGAAGAGTACGTATGAGAGCCTTCACTCCACACTGGGCAGTTATATGCTAATGATAAAAATTGACTCAATCGAATTGACACCGCATAATCCAAACAAAAAAATTTTTGTCCGGGGTCACGCGAAATAGGATTGTACCGCCTCGGCATATACATGGTGTGGTTTTTACCCAGTAAGAGACTGAAACTGATCAGGCAGATTTGTCTTCTAGAGAACACTTCTGTTTATGGATAAAAAGACGTCACGTCATTTAACACATTCAGTGCCCCCGACGCGTATGTGCGTGCGAGGAAACGCACATACGCGTCGGGGGCACTGAATGTGTTAACATACCTGACAGCTCCAATAGGTCCATTCCAAGGCACATCGGACAATGCTAAAGCTGCGCTAGCAGCATTTATAGCAACAGTTTCTGGAGGGTTTGTGGAGTCTACCGCAAGCATGTTACACACAATCTGAGTGTCAAAGAAATAATTTTGTGGGAATAGCGGTCGCAGGGAGCGATCAATGAGGCGTGACGTCAGAATCTCACGTTCCGTAGGACCTGAAATTAAATAAGTTGTTACAAGAAAGCGGGACTTGTGGATGAATGATTTGATGGCAAAATGACATTTCCATCATCATAGTTGTAGTGATTTGGTTGCCATAAACTGTGTGGATCAGCAATGAGTCTTTATTTTCAGTTTATTTCAAACTAGCGGCAAACCACTACCCCATTGTCCGTCATTTGTTTTGCTAGCAAATGGCCCCGGCACAGAAAGGGTTGTCAATTCCCCATTTTCACCTTTACTTTTCTAAAGATTTCTTTCCCAAAGGAAAAGAAAAGAACATTTTAATACATTGTTTATGTTCTCCTTATTTTCTTCCAAGGCTTTGTAAGGTAATGTTTTGAATGATTGGAACCAAACATTTATAGCTTCTCAAACTAAGTAAATAAAAATTATAAACTATTCTTTAATACTATTATTTTCCTCCTAAAAAAATAAACCCGTAAGTGAATGCCAGGGTTAGCTCACTATTGTCTAATTATTGTGTCTCTAATTGCGCACAATCATAACAATACTAAAATAAATACTTATTTAAATAATTATTAATAAGCAAAAACCGCTCACTCCTAGTCCTAATAAATAAATAAAGTAAGTAGTACATACCTAATTCTCTTCTAAGAAAATTGGTTGGTATTCGTCCAGCGGCTGCGGCTTTTTGTCTATAATCAACTACTAGAGGCAGGAATGATGAAGAACTTTGTTTGGCTCTGGATACCACTGTGGAGAGTATAGCAGTGTTCCCCAGCGTCGCCACACAGGCACCGTCCGCAAACCTTGCATACTGGCCCGATTTTATATTCAAAGATGTCCTGTAGTCCAAAAATTTTTCAATATAAATTTGGTTTATTGTTAACTGGTGTAAGGTTTTAAATCTAATATTAACACGATAAATAACAGAAAATAGTAGAAGTAGTATTTAGTTTAAAATATAAACTTATTCTTGTTTTATCATAAATAAAATATTGCATTCGGCCTTAACCTTTTTAAACATAACCTAAAACTTACCCTTTAGAAAATGGTATGTCGACCTCCCCAACGCCTGATTGTTCTGTATAACATCGAGAACATCGTCTTTTATGAATTAATCGCGATAAAAACAAAGGTTTTCTTGCTAACATAGCGCAATTTTTTAATTCTAATAAGGGTCAAAAAAGGACGTTTTTTTATCACGGCTTCAATTTCTCCTACTTTTAAATAAAAATATGTTTGGCTGTTTGAGAAATTTGTGAGAAGTCTTATTAGATAATTTTACGATCAAGTGATTAGAAATAATAAAAATATTTTTGGAAATTTAAAAGTCGGGACTTTTCGTTTAACTAATATAAATGAAATCAACAGAAACGTTCCGATACCAATCCCAGGTTACAATTCCGATTTTTAACGCAAGTCAATATTGAAAATGTATTGCTCTTTCTTTTTAACTTATAGTATAGGTCAATTAAGGTATATATAGCATCACTTTTTTCAAATGTCCGGCAACATTTTGTACACTATCTGTTTTTTATTGCATCTGGAACGATTATATTCGTCCAGAAGCAAGTAAATTGAATATGTTTTTCTTGTTTTATTTAAATTATAAGAAATTAAGGCTTCAGTAAAAGAGCTTCAAAATAACATCATTTAGCTTTAGTTTTAGTATTCATTTCTAATCGTGTTTCTTATAATTTTAAGCGATATTTTTTTTTGACAGCTTACATTAACTGTCATTTCTAAACGTGTTGTGTTTACAATGTCTATCTGTCAGATTCAGCTGTTCTAGCGAGGTGGTAGAATTTGTTTTTCTTTAAAAAAACCTTAGGCTTAAAATAAAGTAGTTTTATTAAAATGTTAAATCCAATTCTTGCCTAACACATACTCATTATATAAAATAACATCGGTCCCTTGAATAAGGAGGAACAAATAGTTTTTGTACTTTTAATAAAGTCGTCTGTTTATGTAGTTCCAATTTTATACTTTTTTTATACCCAACGGAAGCAATGGCTTCACAAGAGCCTGAAAAGAAAGATGGGAATAGATTAAAAAAAGTTCATGGAAATGATTCATTCCAACGAATGAATTATCTGTATCAAGTAAGTTTATAAATACTTATTTTTTTATTAAATATTAGCAAATACCGAATGCTATTAGTCAAAAAAAAACTCAGAATCTGCATGTAAAACAATAAAGATTATTAGCTTATGATATGTTTTCACTGAAGACTACAAGACACATGAGTGCTTAACTCGAGTTGGCTTTAATGCAGTCTACACATTTACTTACAATGTTTGGGACTTTAATTTGTAGGTACTGCTACCTCTACTATACAACTGTGTTATGCATGCATAGGCTTATATAAAGTTTAATTAAAACTGTTTTACAGTTTCACAATCCTTGTTTGGCCACTATGATGGTGTCACATGTGCATATTGTTGTTGTAGGAAACTCTTAATTTTGAGTCTATTTATTTATTTCTTCCAAAATGTATACATATAGTCATATAATAACTAAAATATATCACCCTGTTAGGGTGCAGCAAATTAACTTAAAACTAAGTAAATATTATTATTTTTATCATTACTACCTATTTCTTAATTATATATTTCTATCACATCATAGGTTATTATAATGTTGTTAGTATTAAACATACAATATTCATTCTGTGCAATACAGGTTAGGGAGGTTGCATTGTCTCACACAGGAACCTTAAAAAAAATTTAAATTGTGATTAATAAAAAAAAAATAAGCTCCTTGTTTTTTTAGATCAGTAAACATATTGCAGACAAGAACCCGGTCTTATCAGCATATTATGGAAACCTTATAACAAGTGTGGCTAAGAAAAATGTTTTGAAAATGTAAGTAGGTACCTTAATTGTAATACAAAAATCCTAATGAATTTAAGCTTAACTGTTACAATTAAAATAACTTCACACTCTTTTATCCTTGATGGGAAACGCATGTTGGGCAAAGTGCACAATCGTGCAACTTTTGTTGTAAGATCAGATTTTCTAAGAGTCTTTTATGAAATAATAATATTTATTGTGGTCTATTACCACATAATAATACCAACCCTTTTATGAAATAATCATATTTATTGTGGTAATAGACCTTTTATGAAATAATCATATTTATTGTGGTAATAGACCTTTTATGAAATAATCATATTTATTGTGGTAATAGACCTTTTATAAAATAATCATATTTATTGTGGTAATAGACCTTTTATGAAATAATCATATTTATTGTGGTAATAGACCTTTTATGAAATAATCATATTCATTAAAGAAGAAGAAGAAGAAGAAGAAAGAAGAATAGAAGAAAAGATTATATCTAATACCATTACCAATAATAATTACCATTAATAATTATAAAATAAAAATTTTATTTATTTTGACAGTTTACCTTATTTTTGTAATTTGTAAAAACATTATTTTCTATTTATTTGTTTTTTTTTCAGACATCCAGATATTAAACGCCAATTTTGCAAGAAATGTAAATGCATTGCCATACATAAGGTTACAGCTACAATGAGAGTAAAAAGAAAAAATAAATCAAAAACAATTCAGTGGACTTGTGATATCTGTGGCACTAAGAGACAATTTCCCGCCAATAAAAATCAAGACCACAGATTATGGTTAGAAAGATCAGAAGCTGTACTTGAAGTCATTAATTAATATTATAATACATATTTATATATAACATTTATTTGCGTATCCATTAAACGGAAGAATAAAGTCTGTTTTTCATTTATGTATGCACCCAATATTACAAAAGACCTCACCGAAACCAGTTTTACTAACCAGGATTACTAGCTTCTGGCGCCTAGATTCGTACCTAAAAATGCAGGAGTACAACCTCGAGTACGGAATGATTATCTATTATTGACTAATAAATTCTAATTGGTCAGTTCTTTGTAAACTCCAAAAAAATGTAATATTTTGTAAAAAAAGTATAAGTAAGCTATTACATATATGTATTATATTAAGCACTTCAACATACAGTAGCGACAGTCCATTAATTAATGGCTTAGTCTTAGGAGGTTGATTTGAGTGATGACAATCATCATTAATGATTTCGCCTTGCCAGACGTGCCAAACTCTTACTGACTTTATATCACCCCTTTCTTTCTTCTGCTCCGAGCTGGGCCTAGTGGGGTCATCTGTGGAGGTCGGATGACTTGAGTATGCTCAATAAGACATTTTTTTTGTATCGGTTTGGAAAATCCTCATGCAGACCCATCGCCCTCGGGGAAGGGCGAAGGTCGTCACCCACTGCGGCCGTCACCCCGACCGCAGAACTCAACTATGAGGCGCGCACGGAACACGGCGCCGCTGCCTCGAGGCCTGCTGCTGGTCGGACGACAAGACGCCCCGAGTCTGTCGTCCACAGGCCGCGCCCTAGGGTGGCCGCAGGTCGGCCACCCTACGACGTCTAGTGCGTCTGCTGCGGGTGGGGAGAGAGAAAGCAGCCTCTCTCTCCCTTTCCGCCGCCTCCTTTGCGAGCATCACGGCCTCGCAGAAGGTAGCGACGCTACTCCACCCTGACTCGCTCCCGACCATAAGATAGTAGACACTACAGCCGGAAGCGAGAGATTTCCCGCAGCACCTACCTACGGCCGCGACCAGGTCACGACGCTGCTCGGCCCTAGCTGGGCACTCCGCCAAGTTATGCAGCGCCGTATCGTCGCGGCAATCACCACAATGGTGGCACTGAGACGTTGGCTCCCGACCTATGCGACACAGGTACTTCCCGAAACACCCGTGTCCGGTCACTATGAACACCTGCACTATTGAGCCACTCCTCTAGAACAGGCCTTACCGCCTCTATAGCGGCGTGCCCTGCCGTGGGTTGCGCTAAACGCGTCTGCCACTCCGCCATTAAGGCCTGGCGGAGTCGACCTATTATTGTAGGATTTTGCGCAACTTATAAAGAAGAAAGTAGTAGGGGCCAGGTTTTTTTTAATTGATCATTTACAATCTCTACGGACTCGGGGTCGATGCCCTTGTCAAACAATGTCCAGTAAAGATTATTAATTACATATTTAAATAATACGGATTTTACATACAACAACTAACCAGATAACTATAGTATTTTATAGAAGAAATAACATTTAAATATCTACAATAATACAATCTAATTTAGGTACATTACATTTTTATCGAAGGCTCTGCTGAGTCAGCCCACCAACACGCTGGGTGGCCTGCTCCAGCAATCAGCCATCCGATATTTTTGGCAGCCGAGCAACTCAACGCCGCCGACTATAGGTCATTTTTAAGCATATGACTACTCAGCCCACTCGATAATGATCAGATTCCAGCAGAGCTTCCAACATGACTTGGACGAGTATATGCCGCTGTATACTGTATCTACCTATTAAGAGCATATGCTACGTCCATTGGGTTTCTGTGAGTACACAGCAATTCTTTGTTTATGGATGTGATAAATGTAGCAAGGAGGTTAAGCAGTTAAGCACTCGCTTTTCATGCATGAGGGTGCGGTTTCGGAGTGTGCCTCAATTATAAGTTTCAATCATCAATCCCTCTGGAGCGTTTGTGGTGGTTAATGCTCAACTGTGGACACTTATATGCTGTGATGCCTGTATGCTGCCTGTAGTTTGTGGAGCAACAGGGAGCGTAAAGAAGAGGGAAGGATGTTCTGGAAGACCTGGTGGAACGCGTAATCGTAAGAGGTATTGCGTCAATATATGATTGTGAAGAAAGAGAGATATTTTTTGTCATGGGACAGCAAACGAGCAGGCGGATAACCTGATGGTAAGAAATCAGCGCCGCCCATGGACACCCGCGACGGAGCCGGCCTTTTGGGGAGTTTCGGAGATTTAAGGCTTGAGGATGGTTGGGATGGGGTGGGGGAAGGATTGGGCCGCCGGTAACCACACCCACAGGGTGAAACACAAATATAATAACATGTCACATAAGACTTTTAACGCTGAAAGTGAAAACCTATGTTTTCTTATAGATATATGTAGTGTTCGTCAGCCCAAAATAAGGTGTGAAATATTTTAGGTTTTTTTTATTTTCATGTACCTATTATTTATTTGGTATACCTACCTAAAATTTTTGGTGTTAATATTACGTTACATTTATATGAAATAAATTTACCCATAAATATTTAATAGCTTCAACATTTATTGTAATACTTACCGATAAACATTTAACTGCTCTACGCTTTTGAATAAATATTTCTGATAGGATACAAGTTGGACATATTGAAGTAAAATGCGGTATTTTTGTTTGATTTTGTGCCTTAGCGCTGTACAAGAATTTTCTTTTTCAGTTGTTAAATGTACTGGTCATCCAAAGAAATATGAAAATAAAACTGACCAACATTACATAGGCCATGAGTACCGTGGTACCAGAAAACCTCAAAGTCCAGTGAAGCATTTCCAAAATGAGAAATTAAGTCGCGTAAAGGATGGACAATTTATTAGAGAAAGACATGTAAAAAAAAACGGTAACGTAAAGGAAGAAAGACATTTCAGAGATGGAAAGATGAAAGAAAGGAAACACATACAAAATGATAAAGAAAAAGACAGAGGAAAAGTAAAATATGCCAAAGGAAAAGATTCCACATTACAGAATAGTACCAGAAATCATCTAAAGGAAATGAGACATTTTCAAAACGGGATAAGGGGGAATTTAAATAACGATAAATCAAAGTTTGCGGCATCAGAGAAGAATTCTAAAACTTTTGGAAATCAGACGTCAATCAAGCAACACAACAAAAGGATGAGAAGTGCCACTGAAAAACGTTCGCATGGGAATAACACATTACACAAGCGAAAGCACAAAGAGTCAAGACATCATAAGACGAAGCATGATAAATCCAAACCGGATTTTAGAGCACACGATAGCGATTCCACTGAGGAACTATGGCCAGAAGAATGGGACAACGACTGGATGCAGAAAAAGTTGGAAGCACTCAATTCGACCCAGGCTAGGGGAGACGTTATTAATATGGCTGGTGCCAGTAAGTATTTTAATGAATATAATAAAACATATGATTATTAATTTTAATCAACACTGCATTTGCGATATTGTGATTATAATTTAAGTATTAAATTAATATAAGTTACCTAGTTATGATTAATTAGAAATTGTAAACCAATTTGTAAAATTTATTTTAAGGGCCATGGGCATTTCCTTGTGGAGATCCAAATCAACATGATTTGCCATGGGGCACTTGCATGCGGGCTGTTGAATGTGACGCCGAATATCGAATCTATCGTGGTGACTCTTTTTGTGGAAGAACTTCTTTAGTATGTTGTGCACTTATGTTGTCTAACTACGACTTTAATAATGGAATTGATATATCATTTGGCGGCACGAGTTTCTCTTCATCCGACGAAGACTACGCTAAGGCAAATGATTCAAAGGAAATTAAGAAGAGGTTTATAAAGAAAACAAGAGCGAAACGTAAGCAGGAAAGAGCCATTAGAAAAATGAGAATGCAAAGAAGTATCAGAAGTATTATACAAGAAATAAAGACTATTTTGAAACACGCTTATAATAATAGAACATTAGAAAGAAAGAACAAGGTTGATCGTATAAGAGAATACATAAAAAGAATGAAGAAGCAATACAGACAGGAGCGTATGAATCTCATAAAATTACATCATGAAGAGCAGACGGTATTGGATGAGAAGTTCCAAAGTAAGCTTAACCAGGTCAGAGGTATGAACGAAGCATTTATGACTAATGATACATTCATGGATATTATTGTCAACGGGACAGTAAACAAGTCGAAACTCATGTCGTTGTTACGAGATCACCCTCAATTGAGGCCATATTTCAAGACCAGACGCTCAGGTAATGGAGAGCCGTATCCAAAGCTCGATTTCATGGATGCGAATTCTGAGAATCGGGAATATGATGTAGAATATGGAGTTCTCTATTATTGAGCAAATAAAACCAAATTTTATGTTTCTTTATTTATTTTGAATCCCTTTAAAAATAGAAGAAAGAGATTTTTGTGATTTTTTGTCACCGTAACTTGTTTTTACTGAGTTACAAATAAGATAAAGGTGAGTGTGTTCAGTGCAGTGGCAAATATTTGCAGCGCGATTGTCAGCCGACACATACATTAGGGTTTATGCTTGATAGTGACTTTTTGCGTGTTCAGATCACGTCGGGTGTAGCGACATCTATCGCACAACAATAACAACAGAAACAATCACGTACAAGAGTCTACATCGCGCTATAAGAGTTCACATCGCAATTAGAACATATACAAAAATCCCGACAACGACAGTCGGGCAGTAGCCCACCAGACACAACAACCCGTCTGGTTGGAGGATCCTCCCTTTTCAATGGAGGATGAGGAACTTTCCAGCCTGTTCCCTCATACCTCTAAATTTTTATTTCACTTTGAATCGTATCGAGGGTACCTACAGTAACAAAAGTAACGGTCACGAACATTAATCAGCGGCGGGTTTTATAATCCCAAACATAATTTTATTTAATTGTAGACGTGTTCAATGTTTTAAAAAAAAATATTTAATTATTTAGAAATGAAAACCACACTGCTCTCGAGTGAAATGTGGCTTCATAGAAAAAGACAAAAACAATATTTTGAAACATCAACGACTAAAGAGAAGTGTTTAGGTAACTCGGTGGGCTTGACGTTTCGACCTGGTTGCGTAGGTCGTAGTCGCAAGCAGATTGTACTCGCGTAATTGTAATAATATGTTGTTGTATATTATTATAATTACGCAAAACATGAAACGCGAATGTTTAAAAGTAAGTATTTTGGCGTTTCTATGAGCTAGGATTGTTTATCCCAAGATGGCGACTGTAGCTGTGAAGAAGAATTTCTCAATAATCCGAATTTTACCGATATACATAATGTTGTCGACTGGAAATCGATGTCTTTTCATGTTTTGTTATTATTATTAGTTATTATATTCATATAAGGTTTCGATCGAGTCTACTATACCGCTTGACGATATTATTAATATAGATGTAAGTGTAACCTATATTATAAAACAAAAGATGGGGAGATGCCTTGAAGGAAATTATGGAGTTGGTTGGCAAGAGACAGCATTAGTACCCATTTGAAATCTTTAGAGTATTGTCACCGTAAGCGGGTCTGCGGACATCGAGCAAGGGTAGCTCGCCGCCAGACCAGAACCGAGCGCCAATAGTAACAGTATTACAGTTGAATACACAAACAAATAAAACAAGCTAAAAATAAATGCGTGTGAAAGAAAGAAAGAAGAAAGAAGAAGAAAGAAAAGAAAGTTTTTTTTATGTGATAGGACGGCAAACGAGCTGTTGGATTACCTGATGGTAAGCAATTAGCGCCGCCCATGGACACCCGCAACAACAGAGGAGTTATCGCCGACCTTTTAGGGATTAGGGATTAGGAGATTTTAGGATTGGGGGGAGGGGAATTATTGGTCCTCCAGTAACCTCACTCACACGGCTAAACACAACTCTGTTGTTGTTGCACGCCGATTTTCTGTGAGGTCGTGATATCACTCCGGTCGAGCCGACCCATTCGTGCCGAAGCATGACTCTCCCACACTTAAATCCTAGTGACGCCAGGGTAGTTACATATATTCAGTTTGAGGTTGAAAAAAGGTTCGAATACGGAGTGGGCAACAGTGTCGTTTGCTAGCAGTGTAAAAGTTTCCCTGCTAATATCAAATAAATTATTATTTTATTTTTATGAAAATCAACGGCAAGCCGTTCATCAGTAATCAGCGCCGCCCATGGACACCCGCAACGTAGGAGTTACAAGTGCGTTGTCGACATTTTAGGGATTAGGAATTTGGAGATTTAGGGATTGAGGAGGGATCGGGGGCGGGGAAAGATTGGGCCTCCGGTAACGGCCTCTTTCTAGAAGGAGAAAAAATAAATATAGGTAATATTATACACCACGCTTGCTGGCTCATTGGCGATATTTTATATTTTTCAACGGTTTCAATATTCGGATCGTACACAACGTAAACTTGTACAAGAAAAAATGTGAATATTAAATTATGATTAAAACATTGCAACAAAAGTTTGTTCAATCCTAGAACAAAAGGTTATAAAAAAACAGGAGGAGGAGGAAAGAAAATTATGAAAAGTTACGCTTATAATTGTACCACATTTCTTTGACAGATGACGTTACAGGACAGGCTATGTAAAATTATTGATTATTTAAACGTGATCTCAGCTGTAAGTTTTTTATAGAATATGAGGGAAACGAGCAGACGGATCACCTGATGGTAAGCGATCGGCGCCGCCCATGGACACCTGCAACACCAGAGTCACAGGTGCGTTGCCGGCCTTTTAACAAGGAGTACTCTCGTTTCTTTTGAAGTTGAAGGTTTGAAGGTCGTATCGGTTCGGGAATACCGCCGCCGGAAGATCAAGTACTGAAAAGTGCTTATATTTAGAGAGTAACTATATTTAGTTCTCCAGTGATGATATGTCTATACTAATATTATAAAGAGGTAAAATTTGTAAGTTTCTATATTTTTAAGTTTGTATGTAGGGGGTAATCTTTGGAACCGCTGGTCGGATTACCAAAATCCTTTCACTGATAGATAGCTACAATATTCCTGAGTGCTATAGGCTAAAACATCTCGCTACGCGTAAATGGAGCTGAGTAGCGGGTGAAACCGCGCGAGAATAGCTAGTACAACATAAAGAGGACCTGGCGCAGACAGATAATATTTCTGACACGTTTTACTAAGACTTAGTGTTGGGGCTGCATGTTAGTTATCTCCACCATTACCATATCTCCAGCACGAAGGAGTTGATACAGGTGCACTCTGAGTCATTAAAAGTCTGTCATTTCTTCTCGCCACACCTAGTGCGAAATAAATCCTTTGGTGACTCTATAACCCTAAAAACGATTCGGTGTTATCAAATCTCTCTCTCGCTCTCTCTATCTCTCATTAAGAAATGTTGACTTACTTTGCAATGCACTAGAGTTTGTGAGACGATACGATTGAGAATAGGACTTGTTGTGAACTTATGTTAAGTTGCGTTATCGAAAATTGAGTCATCGTCGTTATCATGATTAGCTTGATTTTGTCCACTTCTGGATATCGGCCTCCCCAATTGCACGCCACTTAGTTCGAAGTTCAGCTCTTGTAATTTAACCACAGCCAGCCACCCCGTGGATATTGTCGGTTCACCTAGTGGTATATGCAAACGTAGTGTAAGGCGCCCCTTACACTACGTTTGCATAGACGTGATCTTCACTCTAGAACACCTCTACCCCAACGGTCATAAATACCTAGTATTTTTAATGTTGAGTAGGTACTTATAAGTATATATTTTTTTAATAAGTTTTCAAAATTTTTGCACATATTATATTTTGTACTATTTATTTCTTAATTAAAGGTAAATGATATGGTTATGTCAAACTTATCGAACCTAATACCATATAAAATACCTATTGATCTTGTACAATACAAACACTAATTATTATTTTAAATCTATAATTAGGACAATACAAATTATTATTGTTTAGGCAAACTGCACAATCTTATTGATGTTCCAGTTTAAGGATTCACTAAAATAGTTGCATCACTAAATAGTTAAAATAAAGTCACTCTGGCCCTATATCCTTATGCATACTTATATCTTGGAAAACGCAACGGATGTAAGCTGTAAACTGCTGCAACACAAAGTGTAGATTCTTTACTCTTTTTCAATCAATTTTACAATTCATTTCTTTCTTTTATTATGTGAGAACAGTGTACACTAATATTAAGCCTAATAATCCAAAAAAGAAAATAACCTCAAGGGCAATATATTTATCTCTCGAGTTGACTAGTCCCAATAGGCTCCACGTTCGTGAAACCCGTTCACGAACATGGAGCTAACAAGGATTCCCTTTTATTTGATTTCTAGGACTTTATTGCATACTGCACAGTTTGAAGTAGTCATTTTAGGCATCAACAATGCAAACCTTGCCGACAGAGTGTTCCTCCTTAGTGGTTCAACAATGGTGATTTAAGTAGAAGCTCATTTTATTGTACCTAAAGGGCGACAAGCGAGTAAATAGAACAGTTTTTTCTGGTCACACACCCGCAACATCAAAGAAGTTAAAAGTGAATTGTTGGGCTTTCGGAAGTTAGAGATGTGAACATTGGAGGGATAGAGAATGGCAGGGGTCCGGTAACCTCACTGAAACAGAAAAAAAAACGACTCGAGGGTCATTTTACGTCCTAATTCTGTAAGGCCGTGGTATAACTCCGGTCGACCCAATCCTTTCGCGTCGTAGCATTTTTTTTTTTTGTGAGGGGAAAATCATCATATGACTTCTCCCGCCCAGGGCCGGGCAGGAGGGAGTGTCAGACTCTTACTGACTAAAAACCCCCCTGTTCCTTCTCCTGCTCTGTGCCGAGGTCGCGGTACCTCATTGCGCTTACCCCGCAACCCCGGCTGAACATCAGCCCTTTAGGGCCCCGTCTGTGGTGGTCGAATGACTCTTTGAGGCGCGCGCGGAACGTTACGCGCCGTACGCTCGGGCCTGGTTCTGGTCGGGCGGCGAGCTGCCCTTACTCGCCGGCCGCAGGCCCGTGCTTACGGTGGCCGGAGATCGTCCCTCGATCCCCGACGCCCGTAGTGTCGCCAGTTGCGGCTGCTGGGGCGTGAGGAGGAGGATTGCTCCCTCACGCGGGCCGCCTCTCTCTTTGCGAGCATGACTGCTTCACAAAAGGAGGAGACGGCGTCCCAGTTCCTCTCACTCCGCACCATGGCCTCGACTAAGGCCGGGCGCGAGAGGTCGCCGCCGCCGATCACTTCCCTGAGGATACGGCGGTGCTCAGCCCAGGCAGGGCATACCGCTACCGTATGCTCCACCGTATCCTCTAGGTGGTCCTCACAATTTCGTGCCGTAGCATGGCTCTTCCGCATATACAAAAGTTAGATGAATAAATTAGTTATAAAAACTAGTCGTAAATTAAGTAATAAAAATTTTGAAGAAGTTTTTTTTCGCAAAAAAATGTGTTGGTATCTTTGTAAAAGCTTTTTATACACTGCCGTCCAACATCGACGTTTTTGCTGAGATACCGCATTAAAAAACAACACATTGCTCCAAATCTAGTAACGGCCATACGTATATCGATATAAATAAGTAGTACAGTACGATCCGAAATTCTAAAAAATATTTACGATATCTACTTACAGAACTTAGGTATAGTTTGCTTTAAAAATAAATAATGGCTGCAATAATAATTGAGCAATTTAATTTCTCATTCCTTCCCGTCCCCCAATCCATATAACTCAAAATCCTAATCCCTAAAAGGTCTGCAACGCACTCGGTCTTATAACATAAAAAAATCGTTACTGTTTCTATTTATGTTTTGGCATTGGGAAAAGGATGTAAAAAGTAATATCGACAGGGCACGACTTTAATAAATTCCACAATGACTTTTATTTAATAATAAAGTACACCGTATTCCATGTCGTACTGAACATCTGCAGAGCTCTTGTCATCCGGCACTGGTTCCAACAATCCGCCGTCCTGACGTCTCTGAGTTATAATCTTCCTCAACTTCGGATGTGTCCGTAAAAACTCCTTCAGATGTCCTTTAGCTGTGCCGTTCACTAAAATTTCCCTGAAAGTCTCATTCGCCAGAAACTTTTCATTAAAGCCTTTGATTTGATTTAATTTTTTCTGTAACCTCTCGTCAACTTTCGCGATATCAAGCTCGTGCACATGTGCAACGGATTGGCGGTCTTTGATGTATTGCTTCTTTATGTATTTAATGAGCTTTCGTAATTCTCTGGTCTTCTTCTTTCGCGTAGCAGTGGCATTTTGATAAGCTTTATGTAATGTCTTCTTAATTTCTTTTACTATTCTGATAATGCTTTCCTTTATCTTCCGTTTTCTCTTATTTCTTTCATTTCTCCGCTTCTTTTTTTCCCTCATACGTTTTTTGTAACTGGACATCGTGGTTGTCTTTTCTGATGAATCTGTTGATAAGCTGCTTTCGAACGAAGGGTCTAATCCTTGGTACAAGTCGAAGGTAGTGTATTGTAAAGAACAGCAAACGAAGGAGGTTCTACCACAGAAGTAATCACCTCGAAATATTCTGTATTCTGGGTCACATTCTTCATCCATCATACAGGAGCCCCAGGGCACATCATGTTGATTAGGGTCTCCGCAAGGAACTCCCCAAGGTCCTAAAATAGAAGACATACATTATTTTACCATTGTCTGGACTTCATAAGCCACAGACTCCTGAGTTTCTTTCGGCATTTCTTCTCAGAGCAGTCAGTTAGGAAATGTTGGTTTTTGTGGCTTATTAGCAAAATACATTTAATGTTTTTTGTCAACAAAAAGCTTAGGTACTTACTTGCTGAAGCCATGTTGACCACGTCTCCTCTCTGTACGGTCGAGTTTAGTGCTTCAAATTTCTTTTCCATCCAGTGATTTTTAAAGTCGTCCTGCCAGTATTTCATGTACTCGTCTGAACTGTAGTCATCACTGTCTGTATCAAGATTAGTGTTTGACGATCGACGTTTGGCTTCAAAAAGTCTTCTTAATTGATTCAGTAAGGGATTCATGCGATGATGTTCTTTACCATACCTTTTGTCAATGACTGTTGGTGCATTCGAATTAGACAAATCACGTCCTGCATTTATACCCATCTCTTGAGTTCGAACTTTTTGTAAAACTGTTGCTTTGTCTGGGGCTGGCTTTTCGTCTTCTGCTTTTTCAATGTCTTCTGGATTTTGCAATTTATCATTGTTGGCATCGCCTTTAAGTATCAAAAGACCGTTATCTCTAAAATTAGAATAAACAGATGCATGAATAAAACTGATGCACAAAATCAAAACCGTTAAACAAAAATACCGCATTTTACTTCAACATGTCCAACTTGTATTCTATCAGAAATATTTATTCAAAAGCGTAGAGCAGTTAAATGTTTATCGGTAAGTATTACAATAAATGTTGAAGCTATTAAATATTTATGGGTAAATTTATTTTATTTTATGTGTTTTAATAATTTCTGGTTGCACTAAAAATAATGTACCTAGTTGTGTGTTGTATGTCATGCTTCGGCACGAATGGGTCGGTTCGACCGTATTGATACCATGGGCTTACCAAAAACTGACGTTCATTAATCAACGGATGCGTTATTGTTGCCGTACTTGTGAGATTACTGGACGCCCAACCATTCCTTTTCTTCCATCCCAAATCTCCAAACCCCTAAGTTCCTGCAAGTCCTAAGTCTTTTTCGTTTCCAAAAGGACGGCTACTAAATTATTACTCCTCGAATGTAGAGGATAGCCGTGGATGGCGCCTATTGCTAACCTTCGAAAACGAATGATTCATTCATCTGTTCGTTTGATGATATGACATATACTGATATGACGTAATATATATTACCGTGGTTTTGACTTTTGGGAAGAAATAAAACTAAATTCGTTCTTGCGTTAAATAGATATCATCACGATGATCGCGATTTTGAATGTACTTATTTGTAAGAAAACAGGTATACAATAATAGTTCACTTTATATTACTGTTTACAGGGAAACCTGTATCTACAATTCCTTGCTTGTGTTAAATAAACCTTAGTATGATGGTAAAGTCTCCTGATGCAAGGAAATATTGAAAATCTAAATAAAAAAAACCTATATGTGTTAAACTTATTGACTAAAAACCTTCCCTTCCCTTCCTTTGGAGCAGAAGAAATTCCTTTGAAGAAGAAATTTCTTCTGCTCCAAACCGGGTACGATTATTGCGCTAGTTCCCGTAACCCAGGCCGCTCGTAAATAAAGAGTCCCGTTGTGTCTTGAAACTAGTAGAGCTTTTCTTAGTTGTATGAATACAGGCGTCGTTACACTAGTTATGTGAGGTGCTAATCGTGAGTATCGTTATAATCAACTAAACACAAAAAATACAATATTAATTAAATCGACTCGCGAAAGTAGGTCGCGCGACGTTAGCAAAATAAATGCCTGTACGGAAACCGTACATCAGTTATTTCACATGAGTAAACCGTTGTTGTAAATGAATAAAGTATGTCTCACGACAGCTACTATTAAACAAGGATTTGGTTACATACAAATTTCCGTAACTAGTAGTTGTAAATGAAAATAATATTTTTGTGATGTAAAGTTAGAAAGAGTAGGTACCTTTGTTGCTAGAATATTGTAATGTATGATTTATCAAAGCATCTTATTCGTAAGATGTCTTCTTCTTTTCTTCTTCCTTTTTTAATTCGTTAAATAGTCTGAAAATAAACGTACTAACTTCCATATTCAATAACAAAAGCAATATTGCCGAGTGCATATGGTTTCTTTAGTATATAGCGCATACATAAATTAGTGCCATCTATTGAATGCTTTTCAAACTATTACTGTAGCCTTCCTCAGCCCATAGGGTACCACTTGAATATCTTTAAGTCCACAGATGGCTTATTAATAGCCTTTTTTCATCATCATTTGCCGTCAAGCCAAATCGTAGTTTTTTATCTAGTAAAACAACTAAATACTGTCTACTAAATTATTGCTATAAAAAATTAAAACTCTGGTGCTGTCCGCTAGATGGCATTACTTGTACCATTAGTTATGATGCGTTTATTTGCCACGGAAAAAGTGTTTCCATAATAAATTGAGCATGCAAGATCTTATTTAAATTAGTCAGTCCTTACAAATTTACCTGATGAGGTTTTCTTATGTGATAGAAAGGAGAAGACGGACTACCTAATGGTAGACAATCAGCGCTGCCCATGGACATCCACAACAACGGAACGACAGTGACGAGTGCGTTGCCGACCTTTTGGGGATTAGGGTTTTTGGGATTTAGAGATTAGGGAGGGAGTGGGGGAGGGGAAGGATTGGGCCTCTAGCAACCTGACTCACAAGGCGAAACATAACGCTGTGGTTATTTTACGCCGGTGTTCTGTGTGGCCGTGGTATCACTCCGGTCGAGCCAGCCCATTCATGCTAAAGTATGGAGATCCCACACTTAAAGGTGGCGATGAGGTGTACAAACATTAATTTTTACGATTAGGCACCTAACACACAGGACATTTTTCTTTTTTTTGTCTGTCTGTCTAATTATATTACCAACCCATTTTTAACATAAATTATCACTTAGTATGTTATTTTATTTATGGGAACCTTGTTAAGAGCACAATGAGCACCATTGTTTTATCATCATCGTCTTATAAGTGCCCTTTTGTTGTTCTTATATAGAAAAGGAATGAGTACTAATCGCTTGATCAGGAGCTTGCGGAATAGCGATTTAAACCGTGTGACTAGAAAATGCAAGTAACAGTTTCCTCACGATGTTTTCCTTCACCTTATGTAAAATGTAACGTCAATGTAATGTAGGATGTTAAACTACTTCAGTATTCTTTTTTTTATGTAATAGATCGGCAAACGGCGGATTACCTGATGGTAAATAATCAGCGCCGCCCATGGACACCCGCAACGGAGGAGATACGAGTGCGTTGCCGACCTTTTAGTGATTAGGGATTTGGAGATTTAGGGATTGAGGAGGGGTTGGGGGAGGGGAAGAATTGGGCCTCCGGTAATCTCTCGCTCGCTTGATCAGGAGCTTGCGGAATAGCGATTTAACCCTTGTGGCCTCACGATGTTTTCCTTCACCGTACCTTACCGTACCCGGACGTTAAACAATTTGGATATTCTTCTCAAAATGAGTGATAGCAAATGCACGAGAGCTAGAACTTGTAAACTCTGTCATCATTTTACGTCATCACTACCATCACCATCAGCCTATGTGCTCACTGATTTATTTAGATAAGTTTTTATAAGTAAATGTACTAGGTTTAAGTAGATTATAAGGTACGATGAGTCAGATATATACACGGTATAAAAGTCTCTAAACACAATAGAAAAAAAGTGCTTACTGCTGTGAAAAAGGCATCTTCTCACAAGGTGTAGGTTTGAGCATTAATCATTACCTTTTTCCTTTGCCGTATGTCAGAGGTGTCTAAATAATCATAGAAAGTACCTACATATGACTCGGAAAACATTGGTACTTCCTGGTTTCGAAGCACACCCTCAGGCGGGCGCCTTAACCGACGAAGCACCAAAATATTTAGTGGCTTTCCAGAAAACTGTAGTCCAATTAAATAAGTTGGCTATCCAGAATTCTAAATGCAACCTTACGATTATTTGCGGGCGGGAGGGTGGTGCTGCATAATGCATGATGCAAAAACCTCTTTTTCAGAGTGGAATTAAAACTAAATATTTGTCTTTTTCTTATTTTTTACGAATTTCTGTAATGTTTTTCGACTGCACTGTTGGCGCGGTGGCTGGGCAGCTGGTTGTCGTGCAACATGTCGCGGGTTCGATTCCCGCACGGAACAACTTTTTGTGTGATCCAATTTGTCCATCTGTCCATGGATACCCGCAACAACAGATGAGTTATTAGTGCGTTGCTGACCTTTTGGAGATTTAGGGATTGGGGAGGGATCGAGGAAGGGGAAGGATTGGGCTTCCAGTTACCTCACTAACACGGCGAAATACAACGCTGTGGTTGTTTCTGTGAGGCCGTGGTATCACTCCGGTTGAGCCGACCCATTCGTGAGGAAAGATTGCTCTTCCAAATTTAAATTGTTGTTTTATATTACTGATCTTATGGTATATTTAATAGAGCAAGAGCCCGCGAGAGCCAGACCTTCGGATTTTTATAAAAGCTAAGAGTTCTTCTGTGTATGTCCCCAATACAGGTAAGAAAGGTGGCAGGTAACAGGTAGCAAAGGTGTATAAAATTCCACCTCAAATTTATTAATTTATAAAACTCAATTTTTTTATATTTTATTCGTGATAATATTAAAACTCGCGTTGCTCATTGCCAGACACTTAATATGGTTACAACCCTCTGCCGGACACCCCTGAACTATTATAATTTGTAACTATACTTACGTTATATTATAAAAGCTAAATTTTATATATGTTTTTTGGACAACTATTAAATATTGTTTCCTTAATAGCCAGACAATTTCGAGGGTTACATCGTCCAGCCAGACGTATTAGATGTGTACAATAGTTATGAGTGAGAGGAGTATATGCAGCAACGGGTGCGAGTGAGATAGAGCGTGCAGTCTATTGCGATAGTTTCCGACTAGTTTTTAAATAATAGTAAATTTAATACTTTTATCTCAATGTCAAAAACGATACTTTTAAAAAAATTGTATAATAGTCCGAATTATGACGTCATATGTTTTTGCGTCAAATAGCTTAGTTGTCTCTTAATCATTAGCTAAAAATATCTTAAACTATCACCCGGTTTCCGAAAGGCCGATCAATGTTAAAATCAATTTAATCTCTTGTCATCTGATTGGTTGACTGAATTATCAACAACCCATCAGATGACTTGACAAGAGATTAAATTGATTGTATTGGAACGTCAAATTAATAAATTTTTGACCTAGGAAACTACCCAATTACGTGACCGGCCTTTAATATTTTCTTTATAGGAGCTAAATATACTTTCTACAAAATCTAGTACAACTTGCTCATATCCAAAATACTTTTTTCGATGCATTAAAAAAATACAGGCAAGGTAATAATATCTACAAGTATTTCAACTTCATAGAAACGGCCGAAACGCGAACTATACCTACGCGCCCGATGTCGGGACGCGCTCGGGACGCAGACAGACGCGGCTGTACCGCAGTGACGAACGGACGGTGTGTTGTCTTTTATTTAGAAATCAGCTCGAGTACATTATTTAATATGACGAATAGGAAATATTGTGCTGTTATTATGTTTGGTTGCATGAATTCGTTAATAACGCATCCAGACATAAGTTTTTTTTAAATTACCTGGAAACTCTGAAAGGTAAGACTATAAAATAATTTTACTTACTAGTAGCCTAGGTAGGTACATAATGTGTGTCTTTATGGATCATTATTTCCAGTTATCTCACGAAAACAGATGTTGGAATTTATAAATAATATGAATAAAGTTATTGAGACGAGTGAAATAGGTAGTTATAGGCGGTTCTGGTTCTGAATGAATCATGATACGTTAGGTACCTACCTACTTACGCTTGTGTTAAAACGGTTTATGTATGTTTTGTTAGTTTGTATAATTCAAAGTAGAGAGTGTGGTATTTGATTATTAATAATTTTTTTTTATTATCTGCGTTTATGAATAATACTAGAACATATTTAATAACAACAATAAAACAGCTAGACTCATGTAATATTTTGATGTTTGAGGGTTGTGATTTTAGAACATTCGTAGTCAGCTGTTCAGTTCGGCATTGGTGGCCAAAGAAATTTTGTTTGTTTATTTTTAAAGCACTTTATTTGTTTATATAAAAAAAAGGATATTTACAATCACAAAACTAAATGGAAGCAGAAAGTAGACAAAGGTAATTAATTAAATACTGGAGACGAGCAGCCCTAACGCATGTTTACGTACCGCGCGGCTGTAGGTATTTATTTCTTTCAAGCGGCCGAGTTACAATACTGTATGATATTTATACTGTGATACAGGTTTCTATAAATTTTGAACAGGATTTTATGTTGTAACATCATGTCATTTGCGTCAAATAACTCAATTAATTCTTGAAAATTAAAACAACTAGAAAAATACGAAGATTAATAGAAGATAGGAAATTTATATAACCCATAATTATTTTTTTAATATTTGTACAGCAATTCCATTGGTACCATAGAGTTCATACATATTTAGTTTTATGTTTTATTTATGTTTTCATTTTTTGAGAGACATAATTCTTTAATATAATGATATGTTTTTGTCTTTCTGAGGTTTCTTAATCTAAATCCCCAAAAAGTCTGTGAGCATATTTTAGCTTAATTCATTGTTGAAAATTAACTAGAAATTAACGAAGAATATTTTTTGATAATTTGCTTCATTTGACATACAAAATTATACATTTTTGACTTTCTCGTGTCTTCTAGAAATCCTCTAAAAAGTCTGTACGCATATTTTTAAGTGTCTGTGGATTCGGTAAGTTAGTTCTAATGCCCATTTTCTTCTGATTTCAGATCAGATCATGTTTTTCAAAAACGCTTAAGAACTAAATAAAAGTCATTACTATTGCTATAATCTTTGTTAACCTTTCTATAATTTCCTTATTGTAGAAAGACGAAGGTCCACTTTTTTTTTTCGTAGGCTGCGCGACGTCGCCGCTTCCGCGCACGCTGCTCATGAGGAAGAACCCCTCTGTGGTTCGAAACTAGTAGAGCTTTTCTCAACATGTACACGTGAGTAACCCTCGAATTTTAGTTAATTAAGAAGGTCCACTTATTAAAATGTTTTATTTTTTATGGCAATGGAAACTTTTGAATTATTAAATTATTATTTTTATTTTGATGAATAATGGTTATGTATTTCTTATTAAATTTCAAAGATTTTTATGTGACATGTTTATTTTTAAGTGAATAATATTTTTCTATTTTAATTTCTCTTGGACATGTTTCTTTATTTTCTATGACTATGTAGTTTAATTTATATGATCTTAATTTTAGGTTGGATTTAATTGTTCATTATTCTCAAATGTTTGACATGTATAACAATATAAAACGCATTGGGTGTACACCTGTAAAGATTATATTGTAAAGTTTTAAATAAATATAAATAAATAAAAAATAAATTAAATACGAGAAAGAAGATCATTGAAGGCAGTGTGACTAACATTATTTTTATAGTGTATATGAAATTTTATGTTTGTCAACTCATCCACGAGATAGACGGATTTCGAGAGGACGAAATTCGAGATTAGGGAAAAGTTTAAAAAAATAAGTAAACATTGTGCCCAGCTCATCATCAAATTGTCATCGACGTGGAATCCAGTGATTCGCAAAACACAACCTCGCTTTCTTTCAAAGTCGGTTAACACATCTGCGGATACGGTCAGCGTAGTGTGTAGACGGCCTAATATGGAAGAAAATAAGGGGGTAGATGAAAATTTATCGCCCGCATGCAGTGAGCTGTGACGTCGCATCTTCAGCCTGCTTGCGACCACGACTTGTGCAACCAGGTTGAAAAGGTTTTATTTAATAGGTCGGCAAACGAGCAGATGGATTACCTGATGGTAAGCAATCGCGCCACCCATGGACACTCGCAACGGAGGAGTTCCGAGTGCGTTGCCGACCTTTTAGGGATTAGGGATTTAGGAGGGATTGGGGGAGGCAAGGATTGGGCCTCCGGTAACCTCACTCACACGGCGAAACACAACGCTGTGGTTATTTCACGCCGGTATTCTGTGAGGCCTTGGTATCTCTCCGGTCGAGCCGACCCATTCGTGCCGAAGCATGGCTCTCCTAAACTTATTTTCCGCGTTAATACCCGCGTAATTATATGATGCAAATATGAAATGCGAAAGTTATAAAGTTAGTATTGTGCCTCTTACGATATGTATACCTACAACGAAGGACACTTGGACTTAAATTCTCTATCGTCAGTCAGCCTGGAGTTAGCGTGGTAATTAACACTTCATGTTTCGTTGAAAACGGAACTAACACATGAAGGAGGGTTTTCAAAATCTGAGCTTTATTATTGAATAATAATTTTTAAGATTCAGGTGAAATGTTACGAAAAATGTTTAGTTTTAATTCCGATTTGATTTGATTGCGTGGCATGTTTTTCCGTTTCTTTGTATGTGTGCATATGCATGGTACCCTTGCTGCATGTGCATACACATGATTGCATAGGAGTGGGATTGCATCCTGCAACAAGCCTGGATTTTTGTCGCGGAATTAACACTAAATATTTTCCCTAACATTTAATGTCATGGATTTCCGCAAAGTAACGCCTGATTCTATAAATTAAATTAAGTTTCAGGTTCCTTATTTTTTCAGTTAGGTCTCTTTTGTAGACGGACTAACCGGTTAGTATTAATTGCTATTTTCAAAAAGGCTGACTTTGTAATTCATTTCATCATAGCATATTAATAATAATGATATTGTATTTGAAATTTCTCTCCAATAATTGTTTACTATTCGCACTACATCTTTTAGACCACTTTTCCTTCATCTGAACGTTCCTTGCTACACTTAACTACTACAGACAGAATTCATTTTTGGTGATGATGCGCAAATCCTACAATAATCTGCTTGACTTTTCCGAAGTTGTCTAATTTGTTATTAAGCATTTTTTGTGGCAGCGGGAGGGTGTGTCAGACTCTTACTGACTAAGGAACCCGCCCGATCCTTCTCCTGCTCTAGTCCGAGGCCGCGATGCCTAATTACGCTTGTTCCGCAATTATGTGGTGGTCTATTGGCTCTTGAGCGTCATGTTCTATTATATTCTACAATACTTAATATTATAGTAAAATATTTATGTATACTTATTATCATTCCTAATCTTTTTTATTAATTGTTTTCCCCTTAATATCCCATAATTCCATAATTGGTTTATAGTTGCGTAATTTGTTGATCTTGTTAGTCGTTAATAATGTATGTTTTCTGATCTAAGTAAAATAAAAATGATGGAAAACGTAATACGAAATAATAAATATGAGAAAACTAAGTGTTTTTAGGGTCAGACACCAATAAAACATTGAAAAGATAACTTTATTTAATATAACTAAATTGAGATTACTAAGTCTTCATATAACATACTACATTTTACGGTCGAACCAAAATTTATCAAAAACACTTACATAAAATAAAATAAATTTACCCATAAATATTTAATAGCTTCAACATTTATTGTAATACTTACCGATAAACATTTAACTGCTCTACGCTTTTGAATAAATATTTCTGATAGGATACAAGTTGGACATGTTGAAGTAAAATGCGGTATTTTTGTTTGACGGTTTTGATTATTTCCTTCGGCACTATCCAGGGTTTGGATTATTTAAAGCAAGATATCCAATCAATGATTAATAACAATTATGTTGATACAAGCGAGGAACTGCCACCGCAGGGTTCAATGAAGAAGGTTCAAGAAAAGATAAAAGAAGACAAAAAAGACAGAAAATTTGCTCAGAATAAAGCTAATCTCTTGAAAAATGTACGAAATCACAATGTTGGCAAGAAGTATGACAGAGATTTTTATTCCCCGAAATTATCAGAAAGTATTGACAAAAAAATCGCCAGAGAACATTTTCTCATAGATCCCGTACTAAACCAGTTACACAGAAGAAGAATGACTAGATTAGGATCAGGAGACAATGATGATAGTAGTAGTTCGTCTTTGGGAGACACAGATTGGAAACAGGAGTGGAAAGAAATTTGGATCCAGAAAAAATTTGAGGCTCTCAATTCTTCCGCACAAAGAGGTGACGTGGTAAATATGGCGGCCGCTAGTAAGTATACAAACTCTTATTCATCTTCTGAAATTTTGTACATAATATGAAAGTGTAAGGAATTAAAAATGAAATTATTGTTTGATTCTTGTAATAGGTATGTATATAACCACTTTCAATTGGTTTTAGGACCATGGGGAATCCCTTGCGGGGATCCCAATCAACATGACGCGCCATTTGGCACTTGCATGTTACCTGCTGAATGCGAACCAGAGTATAGAATATATCGAGGTGACGCCGACTGTGGTAGAACGATGTACATATGTTGCGGTATTATAGCTACGAAATATGACATGTATAATGCTTTGGATATGTCGTTCGAAGGTTCAGACTTCGCTACTGATAGCAGTGAGCTGAAAAATAACGACAAACCAGATAAAAAAAATAAAAAAACATCAAAAGAAAAGGAAAGAAATAAACGCAAAAAGGAAAGAAACAAGAGGAAAACTAAAATGTTGAATACCATAAAAAAGATAATAAAAGAAATACGAAAGATATTGAACAGTGCGTTTAATAATAGAACTAATGAGATAAAAACGAAGACGAAACAATTGAAGAAGTTCATTGAAAGTATGAAAAAACAGTATAAGAAAGAGCGTCAGTCCGTCATTAAAATTCACGACAATGATTTGATTAAATTAGATGAAAGAGTGCAAGCTAAATTGGATCAAGTATTGGGAGTAAATGAGAAGTTTATGTCAAATGCGACGTTTAGAGATATTGTGGTGAATGGTACGGTCAGTAAAAGAAACCTGGAGCTACTCATGCGAAGTTACCCTGAGTTAGTTAAAATTTTGAAAGAGAAACACAGAGGCGGACCGAAGCATAAACGCAGAAGTGGTATAGATTTAATCCTGGGACTAGATGAAGAAGATAGGCCGTCTAGACCTGTGAAGATTAAACCTAAAAAACTTAATTATGATATCGAGTACGGGATGCTTTATTATTGAGTAATAAAATTTTGCTTTCAAAAGAATTCATTTTATTTAGCTACTCGCTTTTGCCCGCGACTCCGTTCGTTTTGAATAGTGACTTCCTGCACATTTTTGGTTTAAAAACTATCCTATGTCCGTTCTCAAGTTCCAAAATATATCTGTGCCAAATTTCACACAAATAGGTTCAGTAGTTTAGGCGTGAGGAAAAGACAGATAGAGTTACTTTCGCATTTATAATATTTGTTTAGATTGAACAACTATACCTACCAACTATACAAATATAAAAGTATATATAAGTATAGTTCTGTGTATTTTATATAATATGTTTATGTAGGTTTATGGTATATTCACAATAAGTAGCTATATAGATAGCTAGTATAGCTTCTTCTTGTATCTACCACTGGGTTGCCACTGCATCACCCAAAGGAAGAGAATCCTTATTGCATTAAGTCTGCCTTATGCACAATTTTGGTTGTTCTTAAAGTTGTTAGTAAATAATTACTTAGCTACTAGATGAAACTAACAAAGATATTGAAAAAATATTTTGTTTTTTTTTTGTTTTGTGTGAAATTTGGTACACACCTGGGTTGGAACTCAAGAAAGGGCATAGGTTTCTTTTTATGTAATAGGTCTGCAAGCAGACGGGTTACCTGATGGTAAGCAATCAGCGCCGCCCGCAACGGAGGAGTTACGAGTGCGTTGCCGACGTTTTACGGATTGGGGTTTTGGAGATTAAGGGATTGGGGGAGAGATCGGGGGACGGGAAAGATTGGGCATCCGGTAACCTCACTCACACGGTGAAACATAACGCCGGTTTTCTGTGACGCTGTGATATCATATAATAATCAATAATAACAAAACTGTTTAAAACTTTATGTCTGTGTGAGCGTCGTGGGAGCCCGAAGAAAAGTAAGCGCCCGTTAAGGCGCTTACTTCTCATGCATGAGGAGGTTCGAAACCTGGCAAGTACCAATGTGACTTTTTCCGAGTCATAATATGTAGTTTCTATGTTCATTAAACAACACAGATCTATACTAATATTATAAAGAGATAAAAAGTAAGTTTGTACGTAGGGGGTAATCCTTGGACTGCATGGTTGGCGCGGGCGGTGGCTGGGCAACTGGCTGCAACGTGTCGCGGGTTCGATTCCCGCACGGAACAACTCTTTGTGTGATCCAGATATTGTTGTTCCGGGTCTGGGTGTAATGTGCATGTGAAATTGTATGTTTGTAAACGCACTTACGACACAGGACAAAATCCTAATGTGGGGCAAAGTTTATTTTAAATCAAAGCAAAGCAGAGATATTTGTAACTCCTATGCTGTTGTGAGAGTCTATGGGCGATGCCGATTGCTTACCATCAGGTGAAGCGTAGGTATGCTCGTTTGCCGATTTATACATATAAATTGTTGATTTTAGTATAGTTTTCATTCAGTCGTGGTTGCGGGGTCAGTGTCAGTGGGTTTTTAGCCAATAAGAGACTGACTCTCCCTCTACCCTTACCCTGGGCGAGGAAAAACGTTAACGACTATTTTCCCCCTAACAAATAAAAAAAAATGTTTTGTACACGACATGATGAGATAAGTACGTACATATTTAGTTATTTTTTCTTATTTAACTGACGGTCTAAATTGATTCTTATATACTGATATCTATCTTCTATCTAAATAAATAAAACTCAAAGGTGACTGATATAGTGATCTATCAACGCACAGCCCAAACCACTTGACGGATCGGACTGAAATTTGGCATGCAGGTAGATGTTATGACGTAGGAATCCGCTAAGAAACGGTTTTGATTAATTCTACCCCCAACGCGAGCGAAGCCGAGGGCAAAAGCTAGTCATCTATATTCGAAAACGGAAACCGTAACCGTCGTATCTCGATATTTGTACAAATATACTATGCAAGACAATATAGCTGCATATAACTTCAGGTAAAGCGGGTACTGACCGCATTGTTTGTTTTAGCGTAATATTTATGACCTTTAGTTTGAAAATATAGAAACTAGTGTATGCAGAGTTGAATATATGTCAGCATAAGGTACATATACATGGGCATACTCAATTCACATACATTTAATATAACCATGTAACGCTATTATTTGAAGTTTTAAACAGCGTTCTCGTCAGCGTTGTGTGGTGATTATGGATAATTTTCTTCATGGAAATTATAAAATATTGTTTTATTTATTAAAACGTTGCCCCACACTAGGATTTTCTCCTGTGTCGTGGCCTCGTGGGTTTACAAACATAGTAATATAATGTCACATACACAATGTTACAAATAGAAACGCAAAAGGATTTTTCTTAATGACTTTTCGGCCCCCATCGGCCTAACATATAAAATTGCAGTTACAATTTTTTTAAACAAAAATAAATAATAATAGAATGACAAGTTTAAGTAATTCTAAATAACGATGATCATTAATAACGGACAGAACTTCCGCACTCTACGACGAACGATGAGCAAAAAATGCGGGTATCACCAGGCACCCTCCTTTTACATTGCCATTCTGGACATAGTTTTTCTTCTAATAATAAATTAAGTCTCCCGATCGCTTTTGATCAGAGTGGTTGGTTTGCTTAATTAGATCAACCAGTATTGAATATTTTTAGATTTTTTTTTGAGTTAGGAATGTAAGGCCCCTTGTGGATAATTTATAATCAGAGGAAGATGTTGCAGAATTCACGTAAGTCAGTCCCTTTATCAGAACTGAACCGTTAACTAGAGTTGTGGAATTTGACTCATTTTGTATTAAGTGTGGAAGAGCTATGCTTCGGCACCTCAGGGTTGTGGACAAATCGAAAAAGACACACACCCCCTTATTACAAAACAAGGTTTATCTTTAGTCCAGGTTTAAACCATTAAGTCGGGTTTTTAATTTTGAATCTTATTGTCATCTACCTTCAATTCGAAACACGAAAACTGGCTCAATGGTTTAGTCCTAGACTAAAGTAAAACCTTGTTTTGTAATAAGGCCGAGTTTAACTTTTTAATATTTATCTTTTGTTTACGTTCAAAAACAACTGCAGTAGATGCATATAGACCCATTTGAAATAAATGGTTTGACTTCGGCTTTGACTCTGACCAATCCTGATCTCCTTTGCCCCTTCCCATTCATCAAATCCCCAAAACCTCTTCATAATGCCAGCAACGCACTTGCAACTCCTCTAGTGTAACAGGTGTCCATGGGCGGCGCTGGTTGCTTACCATCAGGTAATACGCCTGCTCTTTGGACGGCTTCTTAATAAAAGTGAAAATCCCACTGAACAGACATAATGGCTAGTGCGAGCTTGCTTTATGTTAACGCAATAGTTACGTCATAGTGTTGAACCCTGTGATTGGTTGGTTAACTTGGAGCAAGCCAATCGGAGCGCCGAACGTCATATACGCGTTGATTGCCATAATGAAATGCAAATTCACACTAAGCACTCAGGTTTTAGGACTCATTTACGCATACACGAGGCATCGCAGGGTTGTAAATTTGTGTGTCTTTTCGTTTTATCTCATATTACATCACATCATCAGCCTATAAGTTACCACTGCTCAGCAAAGGCCTTTTCTCACACGGAGAAGGTTTGAGCATTAACCACTACGGTTGCTCAAAGCGGATTGGCGGTTTCAAACTTATAATAAGAAATTATTAGTCCAGGTTTTGGATCTTTTCCCTCACCATATGTCGGTGGTGACTAAATAATAATAGGAAGTACATATAACTTGGAAAAAGGCACATTGATAGTTGTCAGGTTTCGAACCCGCCACCCTCATGCATGAGTGGGTGGGATGTTTTTAATGTGTTTATTTTTAAAGATTTACAGTTACAACCAGAATTTATCAAAACACTTACATAAAATAAAATAAATTTACCCATAAATATTTAATAGCTTTAACATTTATTGTAATACTTACCGATAAACATTTAACTGCTCTACGCTTTTGAATAAATATTTCTGATAGGATACAAGTTGGACATGTTGAAGTAAAATGCGGTACTTTTGTTTGACGGTTTTGATTATATATCTTGGTACTGTTGAAGCTGGTCTGTTTTTGAATTTAAAAGACGATGTTGTAGCTATTTGGGAGGAACGTCATGCTCAAAAGAAAGCTACAAGTGTAAAAGAGAAAAGAACATTTAGAAAATTTTTGATTGAACCTTCAAAAAATACGACATTACATCAGAATAATGTTACACATCTTGCAAGGGCTAGAAACGGTGATCAAAAATCCACTGATTTTGATGCAGCTGCTAAATTCCCAGTACCAATGCCGGTTTTCAGAACTGAGCTAGATAATCAGAATGCCCACTCACCGAAAGAAAACAAAGTGTCTCAAAATAAAACCAATATCTTCAAACTTGGGAGATCATCAAATAAATATGCTATAGACACTTCTGTATCTGAGGTCAACAGTTTTTTAAACACACCAAACATTATTGGATCCAAAGCAAAATTTAAAACGCTGACAGATAACAATAATAAGGATGGTATGAAAAAGGACAGAAATTCTGAAATACATAAACTTAAAAAAGAGAGAAAGCCCGAAATCTTACAAGATCAAAATAAGTCCAGTATCTTAAATAAAGAAGGAGTCACAAATATATTTTCCAAAGTAACCCGTAAATTAAAACTTATGTCTAATGGAATAATAACTAAAAATGAAAATAATGTTAAGTCAAGAGAAATTTTTAGAGAACATTCCAAAGATTTTTACGTATCAAAAGACCATAGCAAAACATTATCAGGTCAAAATAATACAGCTTCTGTGGAAAAGGTTAGACCACATGAAAAACACACCGATACGATAAAACATAATTTGACAAAACACCATGAAACTCTCGTTAATACCCCGAATTTTAGAGGGCGTCTAATTGATAGTGACTCATCATCAATAAGTTCAGATGTTGATAGAATAACGGGGATGGAAGAATTTAAAGACCAATGGATGCAAAAGAAATATGAAGCTCTTAACTCGACACAGCTTCGAGGAGACGTTGTTAATATGGCAGCTGCTAGTAAGTATTTTTAAAGTGCGGAAGTCTTTATTTCAGTTTTGAAAGGTGTTAAGTACTATTTCAATCTATATCATAGGGGCTACAAATTCAAAGTATATCAGCTAAATCCTGACCGTCTTATCTGTCAAGCCTCAAAATTATGGCAAAACTTATACTACTCGTATGTATAACATAAAGGAGGTAGTTAATATGTTTGCTATTTAGCGGCAATAAATGATATTATTAACTTTGTTGAAATAGTATTTGATCATTTTAAGGACCATGGGGAGTTCCTTGCGGAGATCCTAATCAGCATGACACACCATGGGGCTCCTGTACGACGCCGGCAGAATGTGATCCAGAATATCGCATATATCGAGGTGATTATTTTTGCGGACGAACATCATTTGTTTGTTGCACCTTAATAATGACAAATTACGACTTGTACCAAGGATTAGACATATCTATGGAAGGTAGTAGCGAATCTACGGATTCAAGTGAAATAAAAAATCATAACCCAGATGAAGTTGCTAGAAAAATACAAAAAAAGAAACATAAGAAACGGAGAAGGGAAAGAGCAAGAAAAAAGAAATTAATCAGAAATCATATTAAGCGTATTACAAGACAATTTAAGAGGATACTGAACTCGGCTTATAGGAACAGGTCAGCGGAGACCAGAAAAAAAACTGTGGCTTTGCAGAAATTTATAGAGAATATGAAAGAAGAGTTCAAGAAAGACCGAATCAGTCTTCTGAAAATTCGACATTACGACGTTTTGAAAATGTATGATAAGCTCCAGGCAAAATTGAATAAAATTACATCTTTTAATGAGAATTTTATGAACAATGACACTTTTAGAAATATCGTTTTAAATGGAGATGTCGATAAAGACAAACTTAAGCAATATTTACGATCGCAACCGGAGTTTAAGAAATATTTTAAAAATAAACGTAGATATAGGACTAAGGGAATAAGTAAAAATACTAGGAATGTAAAGCACATGAAAAGGGTCAATGAAAGAAAGCCTAAAAAACGTAATTTAAGAAAAAGAAAACATGAAAAGCGAAATTCCAAAAAGCGGAATTATCCTCATGCGAGAAGAAATGGTATTACAGATTTGGACTTTGGGATGGATGAAGAAGATCAACAACTGGAGAATATTCAACTTAAAAATTTTGATTACGATGTTGAATACGGCGTGCTTTATTACTAAACAATTACAAAATAATACTATTTCAACGACATAACATTTATTGCCTAACACCCTTCCTCACCATTGTTTATCCACTGTTATAAAACTACTGAAATTGTTGTGAAATGTGTTGGACAGATGGTCTCTAGAACCTTCGTAATATGGTTCCCGTTTAAAATCATATAATTATACTCATATTAGGTCGCTTATTAAGTGCCACTTAATGCTATTGTTCCGTAATATATGTATATGTCGCCGGAAAATAACAAGATCCATAAGTTTATCAATTTACTAGGAAGTTTATAAACTTTCGTAAGATTCTAAACGGGAGATAAATTGTAATATTTTACGTCCACATTTTCGTAAATTTATCAATTTCCGACGTCATACGGTAAATTTATAAATTAACGAATATCTATTCGTAAGATTTTATATGGTTCGACCAATCATAGAAACTCTTTTAAATATACGATCTTTGAAATACGTAAAATAACACACTGCTCCCTGATTGGTCAACGTTCATAGTGGCAATGCTTGTGTCCATATGAGTGACACGTGACAGCCAACCAATCAGATCGCGCGTAGCGTTTGGTTACTGCTTACTTATTATTTTACGAGTGAGTTCAGTAAGTTTATCAATTTACGAAAATGTGGACGTAAAATATTACAATTTATCTCCCGTTTAAAATCTTACGAAAGTTTATAAACTTCCTAGTAAATTGATAAACTTACGAATCTTGTTATTTTCCGGTGACATATATATGTACGTCTTCCTAAAATATACAAAAAAACTACCTCGACTGAAAACTAGTCCAAAATATTTATTCCAACTAAACTACAGATAGGTACTTTCTTTTAAAACGTCGAAATAGATTACTAGTTCGGTAGTAGGTGTTCATTCTAAAGTGTAGATTTGAATGGAGAAAACGGAGAAGAAACTCTAATGTTACTCTTATTTAAAAATGTGCTTATCACAGTTGTTAAAAAAACTAATTATCACACCTTTTAATTCCTTTATCGTTTCGAACATGGTACTTACACGTGCATACTGACAATCTGAAATAATGCTTCTGTATAAACTTTTAAGAGACAGAAAAGAAGAATTGTTGGATGCCATAACAGAACCAAAGTATTCAATAGAAATTCGTATAATAATATATCTTATGAGAGTGACGCAGAGTTGAAGCTCGTTTGTCTTAACCTAAGTCTTTATACCCAGAATTTTATAAAGAATTCTTAAATCTCCAAGACCAACCGCGAGCCAGTACGGGGATCTGATAAATCTTCTAGCCGGTACTCGTGCATAATGCAAGCTTCAGTTTATGTAACGGGTTTTCTTGAATTTACAAGCTTAGAATAATAATATATCCTATTTGCGGATACGATATCGCGTCGCCTTGTTGTCTTTCTGGCAACGGTCCGGTTAATTTGTTTGGAGTTAGTTACTTCAGATGCCATGTTTATTTGTAGCTATGTTCATTACTATTTATTTATTACATTTAAACTTCCAATCGTAGCAATTTCAGACATAGAATTTCAATAGAGGAAAAATAATATAAAATTATATATGATAGGTCAGCAAACGAGCAAACGGATTACCTGATGGTAAGTAATCAGCGCCGCCCATGGACACCCGCAACGACGAAGGAGTTACGAGTGCGTCGCCGACCTTTTGGGGATCAGATAGGTATTTGACAACTTTGGGATTAGAGGAAGGGAAAGAAAGAAAGAAGATAGAAGAAAGAAAATGCATTTATTCGGCATCAGACATGAAAGACAGAACAGAAAGGCAACAATTGGGCTTTCGTTAACCTCACTCACACAGGTTAAACACAACGCTGTGATTGTTGCATACCGGTTTTCTGTTAAGCCGTGGTTATCACTCCGGTCAAGCCGACCGAAAGCCGTACCGAAGCATGGCTATTCCACACTTAATTTTACTTATGTGCACGAACGTATTGCGTTCGCTTGAGCTTGAAACTCGTTTCAAATTTCAGGATTCGAACACGATGACATGCGCTGACTCGGCCCACGAAGCACTTAAGAAGAGAAAAGCTAAATATTATACCAGTTTCCAGCAGCACACAATTTCCTCTTCAGGTATTAATATATAGATTGTTGGCTCTACAGAGAGATTTACCTGGAGAATATGCAGACTGATTGATTCTTGAACATGGCCTGAGATTTTAATATTCGGGAGTTGCAAAACAGTGACTGAAGCGATAGGCTTCAGGAAATAAACTTATTTATTTATGTAGGGGCTCACTAGGATATTATTCATTCTTATAAGATGTTGCTTTATGCTACTATGAAGGAAAGGATGATTGGTTGTTTTTCTAAGTCGAGGCGATTGTACTGCCATCATAAGAGTATAAGTGCTTGTTGCTGAGCAATGGCCTTTTCTCACACGGAAAAGGTTCGAGCATCAATCACCACGCTTGCTCAAAGCGGATTGGCGATTACAAACTTGTAATTAGAAATTATAGGTCCAGGTTTCCTCATGATATTTGCCTTCACGGTATTTCAGTGGTGTCTAAATACATGTACATATAACTCTGAAAACTGAAAACATTAAGCTTGGGAGAGCCATGCTTCGGCACGAATGGGTCGGCTCGACCGGAGTGATACCACGGCCTCACAGTAAAATAGCGTGAAACAACCACAGCGTTGTGTTTAGCCATGTGAGTGAGGTTACCGGAGGCCCAATCCTTCGCTTCCCCCAATCCCTCCCCAACACCCACAATCCCCAAAACGCACTCATACCTGCTCTGTTGTGGCGGGTGTCCATGGGCGGTGCTGATTGCTTACCATCAGGTTTGACGACCTATCACATAAAAAATTAAAAACATTTAACATATTCTTGAGTATGTTACATACCAACTAAAATTCTACAATCAGAATCTGTTTAGGGTAGAAAAAGTAAGTCTGTTAGTCCTGTGGTCCTATGGGACCATTAGACACGATAACGTTTATCCAGATACCGCCAGGATTGCTCCAATATCAGTGTTTATCTTGGAAGCTTCTCCTTTGTATTCTGTCCACGTTGCACCCTCTGGTGATATAAAGGTACGGGGCCAAGAAACCAGCGTCTTCAGGCTTAATTAGTTAGTTACTTGTTTTGTAGTGTAAGTGTCTGATTGGAGGATTTCAATAAGTTTTGGTTTATGTATAACTGTGTTTTATTTAAATTAGAAAAAGATAAATTTGGGGCCAGTTTAAAACAGGAAAATGTTTTTTTTTTCTTTATCTTTAAAACATCTCTTGTTTTGGCATTGTCAAAATTCAAGTGAAAGGTGGTCATTGACATCAAATGCAAAGAATTTGAGACAAGTTGATTCTTGTTGAAATTCTTTGGACCTTGACTTACTGAAATTACTGAAAATACTTTTTCCTGTATCGAAAAGCATACAACAGCACAATACAGAGACAAAACACACCCAGCAACGGAACAACAATGAGAATCGAATACGTGTCACGATGCGTTACAGCTGGTTACTCAGCTACGGCATCAACTGTATGCAGTTTTTTCGTATATCGTCAACTGTTTTTGTATTTAAGTAGAAGTTAATGTATCACAGACTTTATAGCCCCTCTCTGTGTACAGGGCAGATAAGGTACTCTAATCAGCAGCTGCCCCAGGGATGAGCCAGTATTGAGCTCAATGCCGTCAAACTTAGAATTAGGCCATTTTTTTTATATTTTTTGTACCCATGGCGTGGTTCCGCTGAAAGTGAATACTTAATGGTACTAGTATTTATTGAATTATATTTTTTTTATAAATAAAAAGGCCTGGTTTGCTCTTAATCACATTTTTTACATTCATCCTATCAAGGAATTTTAAAAAAAGTATTTATCAAGCTCGAAAATTAATAGAATTTAAAGGCCAATAAAATCTTCAACATATTATTTAATAATATTTTTATATATTAATATTAATTAATATTTATTTAATTTATAAAATTTCTTCAACACGACGACGTGTCATCGACTGAGAAACACGTTCGTGTATTACCATTGCAAAATTCCTTCTACAGTTTAACCGTTGCACTATAAGCTTTAACGCCTTTGTTATAAGGTTGGTGTCAATAGCATGGAGTTATTGGCACATGAGGAAAGACATGTTGGGACATGGTTTTGGAATAGAGCCAACTAAAGCCTCGTTGTTTGCTTCTCTAACTCATAGTGGTGTTATTTTAGTTGTGAAATGTAAAGTTTATGAACTAAGTTCTGTGGTAGAATTGTCATTGCGGTTAGACTACCTTAATTTTGCTGACAGACTGCCAAGTATTAATTAAACAAAATGTATGATTAATGAGGCAATGATGTGATGGTTTTTCACTATGCTTGTCCACACAAAGAAATCGAAATCTAAACTAATATTATAGTAAATGTAATGTGTCTGTAAATGTCCAAAGTAAATGTGTCTGTCTGTCTTTTCTTCACGCTTGAACTACTGATCCTATTTGTGTGAAATTCGGTAGAGACATAGGAAAGAACTTGAGAAAGGATAAAGGATAGTTCTTAAACAAAAAATCTGCAGAGAGTCAGTATTCCACGCGAATAAAATTGTGGGCTAGTTAGACATATCTCTAGATTCGAGAGATCTAGAGTTATATGAGAAAAGATGTGATGTCATACTTATTTTCATTACTAGCTTCCGCCCCACGTTTGTTAATATAAAGTAGCCTACATTTTTCCAGGAAGTCGCCTGTCTACATACCATATTTGACCTAAATTAGTCCAGCTATTTTTGCGTAAAATAATAACATCCATACAGCGCCAACGACACTTCGAAGCTTTTTTTTTCACACACGACTTGAAAAAATAGTCCATTGTCTTTCTAAGATTGTGACATTATTTAACTACCTGAAAGCGCAGATAAAGGTGATTACACCTTTAAGCAATAAATTCCATTATGGCGCTTATTTTATACTAGTGCCGTAAAAAAGTAACAAACAATCCATACTTCCAAACTTTCGCATTTATTATACAATAGAAGTACGCTTCTGAGCCCATTTTAT